CCTCGTGATATTACCAGCTCTTTTAACAAACAATTCACCAATGCGAGACCCCACGCCTCTGACAAACTCCTTCGTATAACGAGAAGAAAAATTGCCAAACTACCACTGTCAGACAGCCCAATTTTTACCCCTGAAAATACTAAACAAGCCATTGCAGACAGCAAACCATCGCGAGCGCTAGGTCCCGACGGCCTCTGTAATATACATCTTAAACATCTCGGCCCACTTGCTACTCAATACTTAACATACCTTTTTAATATCTCTTTGTCCGAAAACATTATCCCCCAAATTTGGAAAAATTCAAAAATTGCACCGCTTCCAAAGCCCAATAAGGATCTTAAACAATCAACATCTTACAGACCTATATCCTTACTCTGCCCAGCAGTTAAAATTCTGGAGAGGCTCGTTCACCCCATCTTTACCAAACATCTCCCCAACGCCAAACACCAACACGGCTTCCGCCCTTTTCACTCCACCACCACAGCTCTCTCCACTCTCGAATTTTACATTTCAGACGGTTTTAACCAAAATCGCCCCCCTAAACGTACGGTACTGGCCACACTTGACTTATCTAAGGCTTTCGACATGGTGTGTCATCGCTCACTTGTGGAACTCGTTCATGACACTCCCCTCCCAAGAAGTCTAGTCCGCTGGCTAAGTAATTACCTTAATGGTCGACAGGCTGCCACCTCATTCCGTGAACACACATCCCCCCATCGAATAATCCACTGTGGCGTACCCCAAGGTTCTGTTTTATCACCCACACTCTTCAATTTTTATGTCCATGATGCACCGCCACCTCCCGATAATGTAAACCTTGTTTCGTATGCAGACGATTTCCACCCCTTCGCAAGCAGTTCCGATATTGATATCGCCTCAAACTCCCTCAATAGCTACCTAAAAAGGCTCTACGATTTTTTCACCTCACGCAAACTAAGTTTCGCGTCCTCTAAAGGATCAGTTACACTTTTCTCCTCTTATAACAAAGAATTTAATAAAACACCTAGTGTTCTTTTAAATAACGAGGCGCTACCCCTAAACAAAAATCCAACAATCTTAGGGGTGACATTTGATCCAACACTTTGTTTTGCCACTCACTGCAAACAATCCGCTGAAAAGGCCAGACGCAGGATCGGAATCCTGAAGGCATTAGCAGGATCAACCTGGGGTCACTCCAAAGAAACCCTCCTCCTAACTTTTAAAGCTTTAATTCGCCCAATACTTGACTATGCAGCCCCCGCATGGTCCCACGCATCAAGTAACACCTCCATAAATTGCCTGCAGGTTGCCCAAAACCAATCCCTTCGCGTTGTTACTGGATCAAATCTAATGAGTTCAACTGCCCACCTGCACAGTGAATCTGAAATCCTAACGATCAAAGACCACCATACCCTTCTGTCATCTCAATTTCTTATCTCTACCTATCGTTCCCACCATCCCATTAATTTTATACATTCACATCCCCCTCCTCCCCGTCTACTTCGCCCCTCAATTATAAGCTGCTTCAAAGAAGACACCCAGAAAATTTTAACCGACTTTTCAGTCTACGCAAACCACCCTCTAGTTCTGGACGACCGAGACGAAGTCTCCACTTTTATTTTTAACTACTACAAACCAATTTTAAAAGACAACCATACCTCCCTTGTAACCAAGTTCCTAGCCGAAACCCCTCCGTCTAAAGTTATTTGTATCCCTCCCCCAAAGATTGACCCCTCTGAAAAATCTCTCCCACGTCCCACGCGCTGTAAGCTCTCCCAACTCCGGTCTGGCTACAGCCGGCTCCTTAACACTTACCTATCCCGCCTCGACAGCTCCATCTCCCACCTTTGCCCAACCTGTTCCCTTGCCCCCCACACAACATGTCACCTTTTCAACTGCTCCCAAAACCCCTCCCCACTCACCCCAGCAGACCTGTGGCTTCGGCCGGTAGAGGTTGCTAAGTTCCTTGACCTGGAGACAGAAGAGCCCAACCCGACCCGCGTGGGCTAACAACAACAACAACAACTTGGACGCCCAATGCGCAACCTCCAAAAGTACCCTGACACCAACCCATTATAGGAATGAAAACTTCCAGTTCATTTAGTTTTTTATACGTAAATTAACAAGCCGAAACCTATCAAGACGAAAAAAAAAGAAACTAAAAAAACCCGAGTGGTAAAAATACAATCATTTTAAAACATGCGGAGAAGAGTATACATGTATTAACCTTGTAACGACACATAGTTCCGTCACTAAGTCGATACACAACCGGCCAAAATAATTCAAGCCGAATGAAGTTTTAAGCGATAAAAAGGAAATACGAAGTCAAGGTAGGTAAAATTAAAAATTGAAGGAATAAATTGCAAGAGTGAAGCAATATTAAGAATGCGCGCTTTAAGAAAAACGATTCAAAGATGTGGTAACTAAGCCGACAAAGCATAAGCAGACAAATAATTGTCCGACAATTTTATTTGAAACAGAATATTTCATTTTCGAAAAAAAACAGGCCCTGGTAAGGTTCGATTAGTGCCTTCAGACGGGTGCTGGTACCTTCTTTTATAATTGAATTTATTCTGAAAGAAGGCGCCACTAGAGATGAGCCCAGAAATCCAGATGAGATGAATCCTGTGAACAAAGTTATTTACTGGAAAAAACTGTGGTACCCTATTGCAATAAACAAGTTTATCGCAAGGGTAATAAAGAAAAGTACTATCTGAGTTTTTCTGAAAATGTCTGTGGTCACAACATCCTATACTACTTGCACATGAGCGAAACATTCTCCATCTCATAATTTTTGCTACAATATATAGAAATTTCCCTCGCGAACATCAAATCTGCATTTATTCCCAGTAATCGAATAGAAGAATATGGACCAAACATTAGATGATAATCAAAGCTCAGTTCGACACATAGGCCCAGCTGCGCTTCGTAAACACTAGTGAGAACACGACAAAAAGCAGCTCTATAAAAAGCATTAAGAAAAAGAAGAAATGAGCCTCGAATTAGTTAAAATTTGGCTTTGTCTCGGATTCGATCTTCGACCTAGAGATTAGGATTCTCACGCACTAACCACTCATCCACGGACGCTTAATAAATTACAAAGACTAGCCTCAAATAAAGCTGAGAACAGGTGCTATGAAATTTCCAATACTACAGATCCTGACTATAGCAAAAAGACCACCAAATAAGCAATAATGAACACTTTTATTAGCGAGTTAAATTAGAAAAAAGGTTCGTAATACTACACTAATAATTCTTGGATTCACCAATATTTGAAAATTTCTAAGGTTTTAGTGCAAGTGGGTCGAGAAGGTACTGAAACTGAACTTTATTAACCAATTACTAATAGCTTGATTAAAGAGTGAGAACAACTATTTTTGCATTATGCTACAACATATAATAAAAATAGACTGACATAAACCTGAAAAACAATTAACTTCAAATCCTTTTTCTTGATATCGATATAATTTCGTAACGACTGAAAGACTTGAAAATGACATTATATTATACATTTTTGTGATACTTCATAGTATGTGAAACAATGGGCATTAACACAAATTTCCCTACTTCTATGAGCTAGGAACATGTTCATTTATTCCATAAATTTGGGTAACTTGAGTACAATTTACTCTTTTTTAATCGAGATCAAACGGTGACTGCAATAAACATATTTTTTCATGGAAACCAAAAACAAGTGATAAATTTTGAGCAATTTTCAAAAACAGTTTTTAGACTCTAATTTTGAAGAAAAAATGCATCAGGTTAAAACTTTAATTTTTGGCAATATTTTATGAAATCCGTTTTTGAAACTCAGTAATTCACGTTTTTTGCCTTTCGTGCGTGATGAATCATTCAAAAAAATCAAATTTAACCGCAAAAATAAGTGTGATCAGACCATTCTGTTCTGATTGCACCGCATCCAACCATAGTCTGAATGCTTTGAGTACATTTATATCCTGCTCATAACCTACTATTATGCCATACCGATCAGTAATTTACCTATAAAAATCTTCATTAGTTGAGTATACAGATAGGTTTCCCTCTTCATTCAAAATACGGGACACTTTCTTTCTGAATTCATAAGTGATTTCTGATATCCTGTTTTAGTAGTTTGTGCATGCTTGATTAGCCCAACTTTTTTCTCAGGCAAGAAAGACACTTCGGATCTCTTTAACTATATCCCCTTTCGGGTACCTAGTAACGAATACCTCCCTATAAAAAACAAATCAACGGTTAAGCATATGCGAATTTTATTCCTAGTAACGAGTATCCCCCTTTTGCAAAAAGGGTGATTATAGTTAAAGAGATCCGACACTTCTAACTATTGAGCGCGATTAGACAGAAAGATGCCCCAATGAAAAGTTATTTCCCATAATGTACAGCGTTGCAAAAAAAAATTATTAGGTATTTAAACAAAACGAAATGGCAGCCAAATTTTTTTCAACTCAAAGGTAGGTGAAGACATACAAATTCTAAAGAAATTTTTACAACAATTTATAAAAATTTAATTTTTCTCGCGAAAATTCTTAGCTCACATTTTGAAAGGAATTTTTTTTTTCAATTTATGTATTTTTTCGTCACTGGTCTTAAATTTCCCATAGTCACTTTGCATTGTGCAGTGTAATAATTTAGAAAAAAAATTACCCGGAATTGAAAATATTTCGGCTGTGACAATATTTTGGCTGTCAGAAGGTTTTTGGTGCCCGAGTGTTTTTTTTTCAAAATTGGCGCTTTTCAACGTTTTATTGCAGAGCATAATTGGTTTTTGGGCCAAGGTTGGTTATAATATTTGTTATAACTATATTAGGAGCCGCCCCTTTCGGCATTGCTACAGCGCTTAACGCGAATAATTTATAACGAAAAAGGTTTCATCTTCATGAAATTCTCGGTAAAAGAAAAAAACTAAAATTAATGAGGTACTCTGGTACTTTCTAAGAAAGCAAACAGATGACCAATACACTAAGACATCATATCGCTCATAAATATTTGAACGATTTCAAAGATCTCAATGAATCCTCGAATATATGAATTACCTTGATTTATCAATTACCATTTACAAAAAAGTTTCAATAATATCCAACTTTTTAAAACTTACAGTCATTTTAAACTCAGAGTACAAACAGTCAATTTAAGCTTAAGCTTGACAGTTGAACTTGAATTTCACGCATCAGTTACTCTTCTGAAAATCTCTCATAAATTGTGCTAACTTTTCAACCATTTTCAAGGAAATTGCATTATAGATTGAAGCTCTTATTCCTCCAACACTTCTATGTCCCTTCAGTGACAGCAAGTTGTTCTTTTTAGCTGCCGAAATAAACGCAGCTTCCAGTTGTTCGTCTCCGTCTTTCAATCTGAAGACGACATTGACACGAGATCTGAACATCTTGTCGACAACTGACGAATAGAAACCATCCGAGCTGTCTATGACGTCATAGAGCAACTGTGACTTCGCTTTCGAATCATTTTCCATCTGAGAGAGCCCGCCATTGTCCTCAATCCATTCCATCACTAGTTTAGTCATGTACACACTGTAAGTAACTGGAGTATTCATTAGCGAATTGGCTTTAGATGTCTGAGAATAGTCCAAAACTGAGGGACAGAATGACCTCGGCCTCCCCAGCAGATCCTCACGAGCAATAACAATTGTACATCCAGCTGGTCCGAGATTTTTCTGCACAGTTGCGTAAATTACTCCAAATCTGTTCACGTCAAAAATCCGAGTTCCCAGATTCGAACTCATGTCAGCCACAACCGGGACGTTAGCAAAGTCTCCTTCGTTACTCGGAATGAATGGAAACTCGACTCCGTGGATGGTCTCGTTGTCGCAATAATACAGATAGCTCGCATCCTTGTCTCGGCTCCACGTACTTTCGCCAGGAATAGTCGTAAACTTGTTCACAGAAAATACACAGTTTGAGTTGCCGAATTTCTTTGCCTCCTTAAAAGCTTTTTCGGACCAGGTTCCCGAGACACAGTAGTCGGCTGATTTGCCTTCGGCTGACAGATTCAAAGGCACTGCCGCAAACTGACCAGTCCCCCCTCCAGCCATAAACATGACCTTGTAGTTATTTGGAACGTTAAAAATTCTCCTCACACAAGCTATGGCATCGTCATTGATTGCCATGTATTCGGGCGATCTAAAGTCACATTTTATAAATAACAACTATTTTTTATGTCCCAAAGCCCGCTTTTCATACATCAAAAACAATTGCGACAATTACAAATCAAAGCAAAAATACAACAACACTAACCATACTCGTTGAATTTTAGCGTTAACCAAAGGCAGACACAAAAATGTGTATCTGAATATAGCAGAAAAACTTAACCAAGAAACTGAAAACAAGAGTGCTTTTTCATTCTTAAGTAGCTTTCAGTAACTTAAACTCAATTTTGAAAATTTAGTATACAATTGCCTACAGGTACATGGGGTTCCTGTATGACAGAAGGGACTCGCTATATATTACTGTTAAGCGTTGTAAAATTTCAATTCCTCTTTGTTTACTGACCTAAATTCATAGATAATGATTGAAAAAATTGGCAAGGCCATTTCACTTCAGTCTGAAACAATTCATTGAAATTATTTGCAAGGTAATTTCTGTACAAAACTTGAGCAAATTAAGTAGCGCAAAATTGTCTGTCTTTAAATGGCAAAATTTCTCTCTTTTAATTCTTTGATGTTTACCGAAGTCCCCTTTGAAGTAAGTTTTCTTTTCATTTTGGATTAAAACGGTGTTAAGTCATAGAAATGGTTTTAAAATGTAGCGATCTTAAATTGCTAAGGCAACAAAAGTAGGGAGTGAAATTGTATGAAGTTGAAGAGGAGCGAAACCAATATGATATGCTAAATTTAAGTGAATTAAAAAGAGGAAATATTTATTTTCTGTCTTAAACGCTCACAATAATGTAACTTCAAACGTAAAATCAGGGTGATGAAATCAGGCAGATGAACTAAAACTTTATATCTAAGACAAAAACAAAGCTGGAAATCGCAAGATTGGCATGAAAACGGCAAAAAAGCAAAAATGGCAGGGAAAAATACGAAAAAAAACGTCTGAAAAAAATTTAATATGACGAAATTAAATCGTCAACCTGTAGATTACGAGTCAGCTGTCGTCGCATCTGCCGCATGATCACTTGGCAATAGGCAAGCACTAGCCAATAATAAAGCAGGTAGAACATATGCTATCAAATTGACCATGCTATGCAGCAAAAGCTCCTTCAAATAAGCTTTTTTGCGAGTTCTGTCAGAAAACGGGGATGTGTAATATCACACTAACGTCCCAAGCTGGTATGTGCAACACAATCTACACAGAGGCGAAGCTGCACTTCGCAAACACGACGACAAAAAGCAGCTCTATAAAGCGCAATAAAAAAAGTAGAAAAAAGCCTGGAATTCGTAAAAACTAGCACATGACTCGCACCTACGGTGCTCCAAATTTATCGTTAAAAGTAAAAAGAACAAAAACATGTAGTAAACCAGCGATATTTAATGCAAACATTAATTATTTATGAGCTGAGTTCATCTATCAGAGGAATCTATTTCATGAAAAAGCGCCAAATATCGAAAAAGAAAATGACTAAAGCAGGTAAATTTAGAGAAAAAAATTGCTACCTGACAGCAATCCATTATAGGGTTGAAAACTTCAATTTCCATAGGTTGCTTTTAAACCTAAGTTTTTTTTGAGAAATCATAAGCAACGCCATATCTCAGAAACAAAATAGATTTCAGCAATAAAAATTAGAGCACAGATTTGTATCCTGACAGTATCCCCTGAATGTACCCTGACAAAACCCAACCATCGAGGTAGAGAATTTCAAGATCGGTTAAAATTTTTATTCAAATTCAAAATTTTTGAAAAAAGTCATAAAATAATCGCCACAACTCGGAAGCCAAAAAAATTCCAGCTGTCTAATGTGGATGCCAGATTTGCAATCCCTGAGTGTACCCTGAAAGCACCCCACGATAGAGTTGAGCTTCTCAAGTTAGGTTAATTTTGTATATCTAAGTTTTTTGAAAAAAAAAAGACATAGTAAAAACTGCAATATCTCGAAAACCAAAAAAAATTGAGCCGTCATACTTGGACGCCCAATGCGCAACCTCCAAAAGTACCCTGACACCAACCCATTATAGGAATGAAAACTTCCAGTTCATTTAGTTTTTTATACGTAAATTAACAAGCCGAAACCTATCAAGACGAAAAAAAAAGAAACTAAAAAAACCCGAGTGGTAAAAATACAATCATTTTAAAACATGCGGAGAAGAGTATACATGTATTAACCTTGTAACGACACATAGTTCCGTCACTAAGTCGATACACAACCGGCCAAAATAATTCAAGCCGAATGAAGTTTTAAGCGATAAAAAGGAAATACGAAGTCAAGGTAGGTAAAATTAAAAATTGAAGGAATAAATTGCAAGAGTGAAGCAATATTAAGAATGCGCGCTTTAAGAAAAACGATTCAAAGATGTGGTAACTAAGCCGACAAAGCATAAGCAGACAAATAATTGTCCGACAATTTTATTTGAAACAGAATATTTCATTTTCGAAAAAAAACAGGCCCTGGTAAGGTTCGATTAGTGCCTTCAGACGGGTGCTGGTACCTTCTTTTATAATTGAATTTATTCTGAAAGAAGGCGCCACTAGAGATGAGCCCAGAAATCCAGATGAGATGAATCCTGTGAACAAAGTTATTTACTGGAAAAAACTGTGGTACCCTATTGCAATAAACAAGTTTATCGCAAGGGTAATAAAGAAAAGTACTATCTGAGTTTTTCTGAAAATGTCTGTGGTCACAACATCCTATACTACTTGCACATGAGCGAAACATTCTCCATCTCATAATTTTTGCTACAATATATAGAAATTTCCCTCGCGAACATCAAATCTGCATTTATTCCCAGTAATCGAATAGAAGAATATGGACCAAACATTAGATGATAATCAAAGCTCAGTTCGACACATAGGCCCAGCTGCGCTTCGCAAACACTAGTGAGAACACGACAAAAAGCAGCTCTATAAAAAGCATTAAGAAAAAGAAGAAATGAGCCTCGAATTAGTTAAAATTTGGCTTTGTCTCGGATTCGATCTTCGACCTAGAGATTAGGATTCTCACGCACTAACCACTCATCCACGGACGCTTAATAAATTACAAAGACTAGCCTCAAATAAAGCTGAGAACAGGTGCTATGAAATTTCCAATACTACAGATCCTGACTATAGCAAAAAGACCACCAAATAAGCAATAATGAACACTTTTATTAGCGAGTTAAATTAGAAAAAAGGTTCGTAATACTACACTAATAATTCTTGGATTCACCAATATTTGAAAATTTCTAAGGTTTTAGTGCAAGTGGGTCGAGAAGGTACTGAAACTGAACTTTATTAACCAATTACTAATAGCTTGATTAAAGAGTGAGAACAACTATTTTTGCATTATGCTACAACATATAATAAAAATAGACTGACATAAACCTGAAAAACAATTAACTTCAAATCCTTTTTCTTGATATCGATATAATTTCGTAACGACTGAAAGACTTGAAAATGACATTATATTATACATTTTTGTGATACTTCATAGTATGTGAAACAATGGGCATTAACACAAATTTCCCTACTTCTATGAGCTAGGAACATGTTCATTTATTCCATAAATTTGGGTAACTTGAGTACAATTTACTCTTTTTTAATCGAGATCAAACGGTGACTGCAATAAACATATTTTTTCATGGAAACCAAAAACAAGTGATAAATTTTGAGCAATTTTCAAAAACAGTTTTTAGACTCTAATTTTGAAGAAAAAATGCATCAGGTTAAAACTTTAATTTTTGGCAATATTTTATGAAATCCGTTTTTGAAACTCAGTAATTCACGTTTTTTGCCTTTCGTGCGTGATGAATCATTCAAAAAAATCAAATTTAACCGCAAAAATAAGTGTGATCAGACCATTCTGTTCTGATTGCACCGCATCCAACCATAGTCTGAATGCTTTGAGTACATTTATATCCTGCTCATAACCTACTATTATGCCATACCGATCAGTAATTTACCTATAAAAATCTTCATTAGTTGAGTATACAGATAGGTTTCCCTCTTCATTCAAAATACGGGACACTTTCTTTCTGAATTCATAAGTGATTTCTGATATCCTGTTTTAGTAGTTTGTGCATGCTTGATTAGCCCAACTTTTTTCTCAGGCAAGAAAGACACTTCGGATCTCTTTAACTATATCCCCTTTCGGGTACCTAGTAACGAATATCTCCCTATAAAAAACAAATCAACGGTTAAGCATATGCGAATTTCATACCTAGTAACGAGTATCCCCCTTTTGCAAAAAGGGTGATTATAGTTAAAGAGATCCGACACTTCTAACTATTGAGCGCGATTAGACAGAAAGATGCCCCAATGAAAAGTTATTTCCCATAATGTACAGCGTTGCAAAAAAATATATAAGGTATTTAAACAAAACGAAATGGCAGCCAAATTTTTTTCAACTCAAAGGTAGGTGAAGACATACAAATTCTAAAGAAATTATTACAACAATTTATAAAAATTTAATTTTTCTCGCGAAAATTCTTAGCTCACATTTTGAAAGGAATTTTTTTTTCAATTTATGTATTTTTTCGTCACTGGTCTTAAATTTCCCATAGTCACTTTGCATTGTGCAGTGTAATAATTTAGAAAAAAAATTACCCGGAATTGAAAATATTTCGGCTGTGACAATATTTTGGCTGTCAGAAGGTTTTTGGTGCCCGAGTGTTTTTTTTTCAAAATTGGCGCTTTTCAACGTTTTGTTGCAGAGCATAATTGGTTTTTGGGCCAAGGTTGGTTATAATATTTGTTATAACTATATTAGGAGCCGCCCCTTTCGGCATTGCTACAGCGCTTAACGCGAATAATTTATAACGAAAAAGGTTTCATCTTCATGAAATTCTCGGTAAAAGAAAAAAACTAAAATTAATGAGGTTACTCTGGTACTTTCTAAGAAAGCAAACAGATGACCAATACACTAAGACATCATATCGCTCATAAATATTTGAACGATTTCAAAAATCTCATTGAACCCTCGAATATATGAATTACCTTGATTTACCAATTACCATTTACAAAAAAGTTTCAATAATATCCAACTTTTTAAAACCTACAGTCATTTTAAACTCAGAGTACAAACAGTCAATTTAGGCTTAAGCTTGACAGTTGAACTTGAATTTCACGCATCAGTTACTCTTCTGAAAATCTCTCATAAATTGTGCTAACTTTTCAACCATTTTCAAGGAAATTGCATTATAGATTGAAGCTCTTATTCCTCCAACACTTCTATGTCCCTTCAGTGACAGCAAGTTGTTCTTTTTAGCTGCCGAAATAAACGCAGCTTCCAGTTGTTCGTCCCCGTCTTTCAATCTGAAGACGACATTGACACGAGATCTGAACATCTTGTCGACAACTGACGAATAGAAACCATCCGAGCTGTCTATGACGTCATAGAGCAACTGTGACTTCGCTTTCGAATCATTTTCCATCTGAGAGAGCCCGCCATTGTCCTCAATCCATTCCATCACTAGTTTAGTCATGTACACACTGTAAGTAACTGGAGTATTCATTAGCGAATTGGCTTTAGATGTCTGAGAATAGTCCAAAACTGAGGGACAGAATGACCTCGGCCTCCCCAGCAGATCCTCACGAGCAATAACAATTGTACATCCAGCTGGTCCGAGATTTTTCTGCACAGTTGCGTAAATTACTCCAAATCTGTTCACGTCAAAAATCCGAGTTCCCAGATTCGAACTCATGTCAGCCACAACCGGGACGTTAGCAAAGTCTCCTTCGTTACTCGGAATGAATGGAAACTCGACTCCGTGGATGGTCTCGTTGTCGCAATAATACAGATAGCTCGCATCCTTGTCTCGGCTCCACGTACTTTCGCCAGGAATAGTCGTAAACTTGTTCACAGAAAATACACAGTTTGAGTTGCCGAATTTCTTTGCCTCCTTAAAAGCTTTTTCGGACCAGGTTCCCGAGACACAGTAGTCGGCTGATTTGCCTTCGGCTGACAGATTCAAAGGCACTGCCGCAAACTGACCAGTCCCCCCTCCAGCCATAAACATGACCTTGTAGTTATTTGGAACGTTAAAAATTCTCCTCACACAAGCTATGGCATCGTCATTGATTGCCATGTATTCGGGCGATCTAAAGTCACATTTTATAAATAAAAACTATTTTTTATGTCCCAAAGCCCGCTTTTCATACATCAAAAACAATTGCGACAATTACATATCAGAGCAAAAATACAACAACAGTAACCATACTCGTTGAATTTTAGCGTTAACCAAAGGCAGACACAAAAATGTGTATCTGAATATAGCAGAAAAACTTAACCAAGAAACTGAAAACAAGAATGCTTTTTCATTTTTAAGTAGCTTTCAGTAACTTAAACTCAATTTTGAAAATTTAGTATACAATTGCCTACAGGTACATGGGGTTCCTGTATGACAGAAGGGACTCGCTATATATTACTGTTAAGCGTTGTAAAATTTCAATTCCTCTTTGTTTACTGACCTAAATTCATAGATAATGAGTGAAAAAATACTAAGGCCGAAAGAAATTTTATCTGGACGAGGAAAAGTTCCTTTTTGAATGCAAAATAACAACTAAAATAAGTGGTTTTCGGGGATTCATGATTTCATGCATGAAAATAAAAACACTAGAATATCACAAAACAAGTCACCAAATGCGTCGTTTACAAAATTTTAGCACTTGACGCAGGAAAATACTTTGATATCATTAGCTCTGTTTTTGTAAAACTTTCAACATTTGGACATGCAGTTTCTATCCATTTGATAACCTGTCGATACACAATTAATTACATTAAATGAAATCAAAATAGTAATCTATAACAATAATAACATAGCCAGAAAAATATCAATTAACTACAGAAAAAAACACGATTGACAATTTTTTAACATTTATCAATTTTCGAATTTCGGGAAACAAAATATATTACGTTCAAGCTCTTTAAAATTCAAGAATCTTTCAAAAAGGATCTGATCTCATTTTGAGAAGACTGGATGAATTGTGAACTTATTTGTTTCACGCGGAAATCTTATCATAGCCAACTGACAGTTGGAACAGAGTCAATAAACGCAAATAAACGGAAAAAAAACTTGATTTAGAAAAAACTTCAAAAACTTCAATTTCAAAGAAAACATATTAATTCAAAGCTCTTCTTTGAAATTGAAGAACAATTTGTGATTGCCACTTTTTCTAAAACAAACTAAACCAATTTCAGACAACTGCTTCGACCGAAAACTGGTAAATTATTCAATCTTCTGCGAAATCTGAAAATTAAATCAACTTACGAAACTAGAAGTTTTTAAACTTGCAACATATACTACCTCAATTTTTCTCAAAATATTTTTTTTTGCCTTTAAAGCGACACAAAGTAAGGTGACTAAGCCGATAAAACATAATACAGAACCATTTAGGCAAAAAAGAAAGAAAACATACAAGGAAATTATACAACGGATTAATTTTACAAATTACAGGAAAAAACCGTAAACTCTTGCATCTATGATGACAAACGCTTGGCAGCACAAGAAAATTCCCCGATTCGGCAACTAAGCCGACAAAACAAACAGACAAATGAAAGTCCGATAATTCAATTTCTCCCGGGGCTTTTTGTTCAATTTCATACATACTGAAAAAATTAAGGTTCGGGACTCGAACACCAGATGTTCCAGATGAGAAGAGTAAGATTGGCACTTAACGAGAAAAAAACATGTAATTAGACAAAAAACAGCCTATTTCCTATGTTTTGAAAACTACAGAAATTATCGGAAACTTTGCTGGCCTAAATAAGAGGCTCACTTTGATTGAACAGCCGTAGCCGAGTATGTAAAACGCGCGGCATTAAACACAAAATTCGTGGACTCGAATCTCGCTTCGTTCATGGTTGGACGGGGTCCCAGTTGCATCCGCCTCCTTAAGATAGGACTGGCAAAATGGATGACATCTCTCTCCCCCACGGAACAAAAGGTCCAAGGTGGAAAGAAGGGAGCTGGCCGGGGGTTAATTTTAAAAAATGCTCACTTCAATATCATCAGCTCAGAGATTGTTTATCAGCTCGCCAGGTAGTTTAGGCGTTATTTTTGATGCACAGTAAAATTTTTAGCCGGGAAAGATTTCAATTTTGCGTTCAAAAATTTCGATTTTGTTCGTTTACTCCGGATAATTCAAATCAAAGTGTTTTTTTTTGCCCAGTATTATTATTATTACACTTCAGTTTCATAGCCCTTCCAGAAAACTTGGTATATTAGATTTTCCATTCCGCTGGTATTCTTTGCATCGTCCTCGGTTGAGTAACTGTCTTTTGCAGCAGTGTTACACATTAAAACAGCTCAAAAATGCATTTAAGCTTACCTGTGACTTAGTTCCATCACACTGACTCTGCTGCTTTGATAGGATAGGAACTCCTTCTGTGCCTTGTGCATCACTTCTTCGGGCAACTTCGAAGGACCCGCCGAGAAATAGCCGAAGAAATCACTGGCCGAAATGTCCCCGGACGCCGAAGTTCCGTTCATCGCGTTACTGTTTGTAGCTGACATAGTTTAACTTTCTTGTAATAGTCGAAATGAACACTTATTTAATCGGAGCTAGGTAGAAAAATTCATTAACTGCACTTGATTGAATTGTAAGCCTTCGATATGGCGAGAGGGTTGAACTTAATTTAAAAAAGTGCACTTTTTGTTGTATAAGCCAACCCAACAAGCAGTGGCAGCTCTTTTCTCTCGTACCAACCAAGAAAATAACCACTCAAATCTGAAACTATTCACGCGTGTTCACTGATAACCGAATCAGAAAGATTTTACGCCTGAAAGTAAATGGCGTTCTGGATATTATCCTTGAAATTTGAATCTGGAATCGTATTGACCTTGACCAGATAACCTCAATCGATCAAATATTATAAATATAATCATTGTGATAAGTGATTGATTAATTTATGAAATACCAGAAACGCCTAGCAATCCTAATTGTAGTAATGCCTAGCAAGCCTAATTGTAGACAATTTGCTCGTATCATGCGAATATTCACAATGCACTTTCAGGTGTACCCGGTAAACTTCAACCAAAACTTTGATAAAAATTTACAAATTAATTATTTCTGAACCGTATTATTTCGCTGGCCCTGGTCCGTTTTAACCTTGAAAGTTCTCGTGTAATAATTATCCTATATAAGATTTTTTTTCAAATCCCCAGAACTTCACGAAAAAAATCATAGGTGAATATCTTTTTGACGTTGAGCTCAGTGATGTTGAGCTCAAGGAATTAAGACAAAAATTGAAGCAGTTAATTTTGTTAGGCTACATAAGAGGCGGACTTTGATATAGTTTTGTCAGCAAAAAAAAACAGTAATTTCGGCGTATTTCTTGATTTTCTAAAAAAAGCCAAGAACGATCCGTTTTGGACGTAAAAATTTGGGAGCGAATTTCGCAAAAAATGCAGCACACTATTTCTTCTAAAATTACATGATAGTTTTGTCATCGTGACGGTTTTGGGTGGCGAGGGTCTTTGAATTTATTCAATTTAGGTCAATTTCTTATATGTTGAGTGAAAAAGTTGATTGGAAAAATCAGTCGTGTGCACCATTACAAGTATACTTATTTCACTCGTATGTGAAAAGCAATCAAAAATCAAATCACGAAAACCAAATTTGAGCGCGATCAAATTTTATGATTTTCCGCTCATAATCCCACTCGGCCTTAATAATTGTCTTCTCTTCGTTCATTGGCATATGAATCTAAGGCTGGTGGCATAGAAGTGCACTTTCCATTACTCAAACTAACGTTTTTAACTTAATAGTTGCTTTTTATAATCCCTCAAATCCAACACACATGCGAAATGAAACTTAGCGACAATCAACTAGCTGAAAGAAACTAAGATGAAATCCACTAAATCGAAAAAATGCCGAAATTATTAATAGGTCACTAAAAATAACCGATTAAGTAGAAAAAACAAAGCGAAACGCTTTTGCCTAAAATAGCAATATATCAATTCGTTCACAATATTTTTCTGCGGATGCTTTGCAATTTCTTTTCTTGAAAATCAGCTGTCCGAGAAAAGTTGATGATAAAACTTTGCATATGTATAACGATACTCTCTCCGATCAAAAGATTGGCACCAATACAGTTTGCTTTCTATCTGTCACTAGCACTCATGATCAAGGGATGTCAAAATGAGATGAGATTCCAAAAAAAGGATAGCAAAGTTCGAAACTCAGTAAATTAGCTAACCATAAACAATTACAAGCTAAAACAATTTACATAATTCGGAATCTAATAAAATTATAATCAATAACGAAAACAAAAGTCTCATCACTATTGAAATGGATAAAAACTACTTCTAGGATAAACTTCTAGGACCTAAGCTCTGCTTTTCCATTCAACCTCGATAAACTTACAACTTGCTAAAAAATAGTTTACCTATCTAATCGCTCTAGTTAGTAATCAATCGGCTACAAATGATTTCCTCTAATTCGTCTCGCCAATTGCAAATCACGGGGCATGATCGTAACTCTGCGCGCATGAATCGCACACAAGTTTGTGTCTTCAAACAAACCCACCATGTAGCTTTCGGCTGCCTCTTGCAACGCGAAAATTGCTTGGCTCTGAAACTTCAGGTCTGGCTTGAAGTTCTGCGCGATCTCTCGCACCAGTCTTTGGAAAGGCAGTTTTCTGATGAGGAGTTCTGTGCTCTTCTGGTACTTCCTGATTTCTCTCAAAGCCACTGTTCCTGGTCTATATCTATGCGGTTTCTTAATTCCTCCGTGCATTCCCATTGGAGCCATTTTCCGAGCAGCTTTTGTAGCCAGAGTCTTTCGTGGAGCTTTGCCACCAGTGGTTTTTCTCGCGGTTTGCTTAGTTCTAGCCATTACTTTAGATCCTTTAGTTTGCTCGACTTTCCAATTTCAAAAATATAATTTCAAAGGGTTACACAGTTTTCTAAAACACTTAGGAGACATGAAAAAAGTGACATCTAGAACCTAAACTAGTCAAGAAGCTTCCTTTGGAGACAAACACTTAATAGATTTAAATATAAAATACTAGAAAACTCAGCACACGCGAGGGACTCTAGCTTAAAAAAAACAACGAACAGGCAGCTATAAATAATATCTTTACGACTTAATGAACAGCTGTTAACTATCGCTTTAACTTGGGTTAAAAAGCAAAATTTCCAAACCGGTAAAAACGAAGAGAAAGCCAACTAGCTCACTACGAAACACGATAAAAAAAGAACTTTCTAGTGTTTACAAACGCAACTACTCGTACTGGGTTCAATTAAGCTAAATAAATAGCTTATTTGGAGCCAGCACCAAAAGTATAATTTTTTGTCGTATTTAAATCGTAATTTAACACAGCGCATGACAACCTAACTGACCAAAACAGAGATAAAACCGAACAACATTTTTTGAAAAATTACCGAAAAAATTGATTTTCAAAATTTGTCTTAGCTTTCTCTTGAACAAAAAATATTTTCAAGAAAATATACCAAAACGTGAGACAATTGAAAGTCGAACAAGCATCAAAACAAAACTTAAAAGCGGGCAGTATTAAAGCCGACAATTCTTGATCAGACATACGTTGCGCCAAAAAAAATATATCTTTTTTTTCAACTCAAAAAAGATAATGAGTCCCCCCTCAAAAAAATAGATGAAACCTTTTTGCTTTCCAACAACTCCAAAAGAGGCCTCTAAGCCGATCTATAAATAGCCGAAACCATTTAAGCCGAATAAAAAAGGAGAAAAATTGAACAAAAACTGATATACTGAGCAATAGTTTTTAAAAAATTTCGACCTATCCAAGCTGAAACACATAGAAGCATAAAAACACACATTTTGCTCTCAAAGCTACGCAAGAAAAGCTTTCAAAACCAATATCATAAGACAAAAGTGTGTCATCGAAAAAAATATATACAAAGTCAGATTTTTTTAAATACGAATTATATCAAAGAATAATAAAACTTTCAATTACAACTAGCGTGTAACGCACCCCCGGTGCTTCGAATTTTTGACAACTCATGAAAAACCACATACATTGAAAACAACGTCTGCATGCTTTTAGTGTACTCTGACAGCACCCAATTACATGTCTGGTAATTTGATATTTTTAAATTTTTATATAATTCCTATTTTCCGTCATCTCGAAAAAGTACAAAAATTTGAGTAGTCATGTTTGGAGGCAAGATTTGCAACCCATGTAAGTACGCTGACAGCACCGAACTACAGGGTAAATATTTTCAAATTTAAAAAAATCAAATTTTTGTTTTCTGAAAAACTTTGACAAAATCACAAAAACGTCATATCTGGAAAACTACAAAGATTTGGGCAGTTATAATTGGATGCAAGCTTTTCAACCCGTGAGAGTACTCTGACAGCCTTCAACTACAGGGTTGGGAATTCCAAATTTTGAAAAAGAATTTAGAGTTTTTTAAAATTTTTGAAAAAATCACAAAAACGTCATATCTCATAAACTACAAAAATTTGAGCAGTCATAATTAGAGGGAAGGTTCGCAACCCCCTGAGTGTTCTCTGATAGCACCCAAAAACAGGGTTGAGAATTTCAAAATTTGAAGAAAAAAATTTGAAGAAAAATCACAAAAAACGTCATACCTCGAAAACTACAAGGATTTGAGCAGTCATTTTTGGAGGCAAGATTCACAACTCCTGAGAAAACCCTGAGAGTACCCAACTACAGGGTAAGAAATTTCAAATTTTGAAATAAAAATTAATTTAAACTTTTTGAAATTTTTTTTTTAAAATCGCAAAAAGGCATATCTCGAAAACTACAAGGATTTGAGCAGTCAAAATTGGAGGCAAGGATCGCAAACCCCTGAGAGTACTCTGGTAGCCCGCAACTACGGGGTTGGGAATTAAAAAATTTGAAGAAAAAAAATCGTTAAGTTATCTGAAATTTTTCTGAATAATCACAAAAAAACGTCATATCTCGAAAACTACAATGATTTGAGCAGTCATATTTGGAGGCAATATTCGCAACCCATGTAAGTACCCTAACAGCACCGAACTACAGGGTAAGGATTTTTAAGATTAAAAAAAGATAGAAAAAACAGATAACAAAAAAGATGGAAAAGAAGGATAGAAAAAAAATTTAAAAAAGATATAAAGAAAAGAAAGAAAGAGAAATTGGAGACAGCCGTTTGACAGTAGTACTATTTTGAACTAAATCGTCGAAACCAAATTCAAAGTTAAAAAATTAGGAGACGGTTTGAGAGACATAATGAAATTAATGTAAAAAGCAGGTAATCAGACAGACAGACAGACAGACAGACAGACAGACAGACAGACAGACAGACAGACAGAGAGACAGACAGACAGAGAGACAGACAGACAGACAGTGAGACAGACAGACAGACAGACAGACTTAGTTTGGCCTCGAAAAAAAATTACTAAAAAGTTAATGACCTTGTGGAAAACTAATTGAAAAATTTTCTTAAGCATCGCAATATATGATATGGCTTGAACCTGAAAAAATTCTTTCGTTAAACATGCAAAAATCTTATGCTTAAACATGGGAGATAGCTGTCACTAGCATTTAAATATAGTATAGATAGATAGATAGATAGATAGATAGATAGATAGATAGATAGATAGATAGATAGATAGATAGATAGATAGATAGTAGATAGATAGATAGATAGATAGATAGATAGATTTAGATAGATAGATATAGATAGATATAGATAGAATTATCTTACAACACAAGAAATGTAAACAAAACGTGGCAACTAAGCCGACAAATCACAAGCAGACAGCTTATAGACCTAGTTTTTATACTAAATACTTTAGGTTTAAAACAAAACAAGTGCTGACCGTTTTCGAGCGTAGGCCGTCAGTCGTCTATTAGCTAAATTCAACTAAGTAAGTTCAACTAAGTTAGTTTAATTTTAGTAGTACATGGTAGTTAAATTTAAAATTTGCATTTTCAAGAAATTCAGCATGCATGCTGCAGTGCAGAATTGAATGCGGCACAAATGATACCTGCACAAATGATTCGGTGATATTGTTTAACTAGTTGTTAACTAGAAAAAAGTCTATTCCAGTTTGATAACGCTTGCTAATCGCTAGCGTTACCATGCAACGTTTTTTGAAACATGCAATAATTTTCAAAATATTTTTAAACAGAAAAAGTTAATAATAAAGAAAAACATAGCCAAAAGACAATTGGAAGAGTCAATGAACGCAAGTAAACAAAAAATTTTTTGAAAAATCTCAACTTTCCAAATTCAAAGAAAAATTAGATGGCCTTAAAGCTCTTTGAATTTATGATTGGCACCTTTTCGATAAAATTGACCCAATTTGAGAAAACTGGATCAATGAATAAAATTTTCATTTTCGAAACTAGAAGTCGATCACGTTTTTCTATGGTGAGTTGAGTTTGCCTTCCTTTTAATAAAGGAAATGAACTTAAATTAAAAAAAAATCAAAGCCAAACTACAAAAAGGTGAATTCGAGCCTGAACAAATTTTCCCAAAAAAAATGATCGCGACCTATATATAAGAGTCTGAACTACGATTCTCGACTCAGAAAAATGCAAAACCGGGTGCTAATAAGGACCGGGTGCTAATAAAAAATGTTATCTACAAATTTGACAAGTGCATTCATCAACTCTTTAGATGACTTCACTTATTCATAGGGAATCTAGAACTCTGAGAAAATTTTTTAAAAAACTAAATTTGATACAAATTCAGCCCCAAGTTGGAAAGGAAGCAAGGATAGCCGGTTCCTGTGCAAGAAGTACAGAATGTTCCGACCATAATCTTAAAACAATACAAAAAAAGTTTTTCATGTTTTTTTTCCAATTAGTGTTGTTTTGTTGAACGCGGTGTGATGAAAATCTACAATTTAGGTACATTCGGCAGTCACAGTAAAAAGACAAATTTTGCAACGTTTTTTTGTCAAAAATCACTGAAAAAAAAACTAAAGTTCAAAAAACCAATTTTTATTGCAATTTGATTTGTATTCCAAAAAAGGCGCGGAAAACTTCTAAAAATAGCGTTACTGTAGTAAAACTAAATTTTGTGGCTTATCCCTCTATAATAAGCCTACTCACTTGCTTTAGTCTTTGGAATTGAACCAAACTCAAATTTTCAAACCTGTTCTTCTGGACACTGGGACAACTTTTTGAAAAAATTTCAAAGGTCGTTCGAATCAGCACTGAAAAAGCTTTGATATGATTAATCACTCCAACCATTACGATGATTAATTGTGGTAAATGTTTTTGGGTTCATGAAGAAAACAGCCTGCTCGCTCGAAATTAGACCAAAAACCAAGAATTTAAAACGGGTATTTCTTGACACTGAAAACATTTTTCAATAAAAAAATTAAAGTCGCTCGAATCACGACTAAAAGGGCTTTAATATGATATATCGCTCGACCCAATCCGATGATAGCTTGTGGTACCAGATTTCGCGTGGAAAACAAAAAAAAATAAAACACCCGGATACGAAGTTCCTCCACATTTTCAATAGTCGGAACAATAATAATCAACCGTAACTGATCTAGAAAAGGTATGCATTAGAAATCAGATGATGAAACACTAGATTACATAGACCGTTTTGTATAAAAAAAAACAACGACTATTAAAAAATCGACTGAATTTTTTCGAACTTCAAAAAAAGTATCAGCGCAAAGCTCTTTGATTTCAAGAATCTTTTTTGCTACTTTTTAGAAAAACCAATTTTGAGTGAAATAACTTTGAGGCATTTCATGACTAAAAAAAACCACGCGACATAAATATTTGGTGATTCATTCAAAACTAATAGAAAATGGACAAAAAATAGACAACCAATTCTAAAAATAAAACGGAATATCAACAAAAAATTCAAAACAAAACAAACCAACATACGTTTGGGGAAAGTCACTGAACGCAAGTAAAACAATTACTTGTTTTAGAAAAAAAAACAACTTCAATATCCAACACAAAAAAAGATTAACATTGAAAAAATGGCCCAATTAACATTGAACTACCTTACGCAGGTGACTCTCAACTAAAAAAAACCATTATCCAGTTTGGCTGCAATTATTCTCGGAGCTTAACATCGATCTAGGGTGACCACTTTTTTGAGAGAAAAATAGTGACTATGACAATTTTCGAATTTTTGTCGACCTTTTTTTTTTAGTTCGACCAAATTAATTTTTCAAGCTCTGCCAAAGGACTACACTAAAAAGTCCCTGTTTTGGCCAAAATTTCTGCGCCACAGGCATAGTTTTGAATAAACAGGCTGAAAAATTGCGTTTTTTCGGCGCGCTCCCCCCTCAATATTAGTATATATTGGCGCCGAAGGTGCCTTTAGAAAATTTTAGGATCGGTCACTAAAAACGGATATCTCAAAATAGTGCAAAGAGGGGACCCTTTAAAAATATTAAAAAACAAAAGCTTTGTTGTAAATAGTGACTTTTAGTGACCATTGGAAAAATAGTGACGAATTAGTGACCAATAGTGACTGGTCACTAAAATAGTGACCAAGTGGTCACACTGCATCGATCGGAAAAAGAAAAAACTTTTATACTACTACACTGTTACTACCTTTCAACGGCGTGACGCGACTATTTATAACAAGCGGCACCTCGTAAGAGGCGACAATTACCGTTACGAAATGTCGCCTGTTGAAAATTATCCCGTCTTACAAAATGCCATCTTTTTTGCCTAACCCTCCAACGGACCGTTCAATGAATCCTTGAATTGTAAGGAACTATGGCGTAGGTTTGTATTTTTTTTCGCGGAATTTTAGAATTCTCAAGCAAAATCCGCAGGGAGTCACTTGACATCAAATTGAAGTCCGATTGGTCGTGATTTATTATTTTAAAAAAAAACAGCCAGCTTTTACTTTAACCAGGTATAATCAGGTTTTATAGCGAGCAGTTGGTTGATCCAAGATAAAAAATGCTGCCCCATTCACTGCTGTTTTATGGTTGCAAGTACAGAAAAAATGTAACCTACAAAAAAAATCGTAAATTTTTGAGCAGCTCAGATGCAATAACAAAATGTTGTGAACAATTTCGTGAACATAAAATGAGAAACATGGACGTAAGTGTCTGAAGAATGACATTAGTCAATTTTTCTGATTTTCTTAATTGAGAAAAACTTACTGTATTTATATTCGAGTTCTCAACTTCGAAAGATATAGAGGTACCTCTAATGATGGTAGCTCTCTCTAATTGTCTATGTTTATTCAGTCACACATGTGTATCATTTACTCTGTTGAAAGTGCCTCAACTAAAGTCCAGGGCGCCAAAAAGATATCTCGTCTTCAAATCAAGCAGTCATGTTTCTGTCCTTTAAAAGATGCCTATTCTTCAATTCAAGCCGTTATATACTTCTGGAAACAACTTTTTATTTTGCGTCGAATTGCGTTGACGAGTTTGTGTTGAGAAAAACTGACTCCACAAATATTGAACGGCTGGAATTGAAGAATAGTTATCTATTAATGACAGAAATATGACCGCTTGATTTGAAGAACAGATCTTTTTAGCGCCTTGATTTTAGTTTCGCGACACTTGAACAAAACGATCTCAAATTATTCTCCTTTTTCTTGGTTGAATAAAAGAAATTTTAAGACGTCTTTTGCAGGTCCTTCAGGCGTTTAAAAAATCGACAGTCAACAATCGACATTCAGGCAGCTTGAAAAACGAAACAATTGTATTTCAAGCATCTCTTTCAGAATATTCACTCCCCCTTTCGTGTTTGCTACCATTTTGTGACAAGATTTGAACATATAACTTTCCAGCGATTAAGTAAAAAAGCTCAATTCTTTTTTCGACTAACTAACAATTACAAAATGAAAACAAGTGAATCCGTGGCCTTTTTGCTGCTCCTTGGAGCAACTCTGGTCACCAGCTCACCCACTGATGTCTCTAACCCCCTTGCCGTCTTGCAACAACAAGCACAGATCATGTTCGCTGGTTCCAAAGAAGAACTCGCGGGAATCTGCGAAGAATCAAAGGAGGTCACCAGAACACTGATGAAGAAGGCAAAGGCAAAAGGAGCTTCTTCTGACGAAGTCATAATGATGCGTGCGACTAACATGGCTTGTGATAAGGTTGAAAATGACGAGTTTGTTTTGAAACAGGCGTCGCTTGACGAGCTGTTTGACATTGTCAGAGGATTTCTAGCCGTCGACAGAATTGTCGACGTAGATCTCGCCGCTAAGGCGTTCAAAGCGATCATTGAACAGACAACCGAACTGCAGCGGATGGCTAAAACCGACTACATTGCAGAGGTAACTTCGTTTCAGTCGACACGAATGTTAGAAACATGCCCAACAGATGTCCCTAAGTAAAGAACAAGAAAACAAAACAAAATGTTAATCGAAAACTTCCGAAAAGGAAAACTTTCAACTTTCCAAAAAAAAAACATCTATAAAGTTAAAGCTCTTTGAATTTCGAGAATTGTTAATGATTGGCATTTTTTCTGGAAAAAAATGATTAAAAAAATTACCATGACCTTTATAAGTGACTAAGTAAGCAGTAGCGGATTTGAGGCGGACGCACACCTCTCAGGGAATCGACACCCTGCCGATCCAAAGGGTCCCCCTTTGTACTATTTTGAGATATCCATTTTTGGTAACGGACCCTAAAATTTTTCTAAAGGCGGCTTCGGCGCCAATATTTTAATTTTGAGGGGGGAGCGCACGCCAATAAAACTCAATTTTTGGTCAAAGTTTTCGAAAAAGTGCCTAAAAACCCCGTCGTGGTTTTTACCAAAACAGGTTGCAAGACCTCAGAAAATCTATTTGGTCGACCTATAAAAACGGTCGACAATTTTTGAAAACCCCCCTCGAGAAATTCCTAGATCCGCGCCTGTATGTAAGTATTAATAAAAAAATAATACAAAAATTATTGAGTTTTTCTTTGCGGTATCGTTCAACCAATGGGCTTATGTAATAATTTAAATAAAATTAATACGCTTCGGGACAGAGGTTCAGATTTTTCTGTTGAAACTTCTTTTGCCCCTGTTCAGTAAAAGTAATTGAATCAAGGCTCTTTGGCTGCAGCAAGAATTTAAATCTGAATGTTCCTTGATGTGACAAAATAAGGCAGTGACTTTAATAGTAACAATATCTTTTGCTGTTATTGTCAAATACTACTGCTTTGAAACAGTTCGGGATTCGGTCAATCTTTTCATGAGAAATTTCACTGACATTAAAAAATAGTTTTGATTATGTCTTAGTTTGTTTCTTTTTAAGGTGAACGCACTCAAATCGAAATACCCAGATGACGCCGTCTTGCTTTTACTTGCGGACCAGGCGATAGGATACTCTGAGCAATACACAGTAAAAGTAAATACCCTCACAACAAATGTCAACGATTTCATCGCTCGAATGAAGGCCGCTTTTGCTTAAGAAAAAAGAATTCATTGAAAATGTTTCAAAAATGGGAGTCTCGTATTCAAGAAAATCAAATGACTTCCTTCATGTTATCTGTGGTTAACACCACAGTTCATATTTTGGTTTAACATCACAAAGTTCCTAACTTGAGGTTATTGGGTAAATTGGTTGAGGCTGATCAAAGTAGTGATTAAAAATCAGCAATTATCACAAAACATAGCTCAATGAGTTCTAATTGATACGAAAATCTAATGCTTTTCAAGCATAACCAAGAGAAAGTTGGAAGTATCAATGAGCTAGAAAACGGAAAAATAAACCGAAAAAATTCTGTTCAAATTTTACAAAGAATTTTCGGGAAAAAAACGGTAACGGCAATACAGCTCTGATTTTCGAGAAATTTCTATGATTGGCAATTTCTCCCTTAACAACCAATAAGAGAGAACTAGGTCAAAAAACAATTTTTTTTACTCTGCTGAAAATAGTGAAATTGTTTTTTTTTTTTTCATCAATTGCCTTTTTGTTCTTGGACAGGGACACGTGCCTTCCAATTAACGTTAATTGGAAGGCACGTGTCCCTGTCCAAGAACAAAAAGGCAACTGATGCAAAAAAAACAATTTCACTATTTTCAGCAGAGTAAAAAAAATGTTTTTTGACCTAGTTCTCTCTTATTGGTTCTTAAGGGAGAAATTGCCAATCGTAGAAATTTCTTGAAAATCAGAGCTGTATTGTCGTTCGTTTTTTTCCCGAAAATTCTTTGAAAAAACTTGAACAGAATTTTAGATTTATAAATTAGAATTTCTAAATTCAAACCGCGACAGATCAGTTTTGAACGTGTACAAGCTTCAAGGAACTTTTTCTGATTAAAAAAATGAAAATAAAAAAACTAAAACGTTTTAGCTGGAATCATTGACAACTTACAAAAGACTAATTACATGAAAAACAACATTTAACTTTGAATATTAGAATCAGAGAGGCAAACAAATGCTTCATGATTCTTTTCGAAGAGCAAATAAAAAACTGAAGGGCATCTGGTATGAGAATCAACCGCAAACAGGGAAGTAAAGCGGTACTTCGCAAAGGCAAGTGGTCAAAACCGATCGATGATTAAATCCCCCAGGATAAAATCCCCCGGATATAATCCCAACGACCAAACTGCCATCCCCCTTTCTTTCTTTAGCCCATGTTGGGCGGGTTCAGCTCCTCCATCTCCAGGCTAAAGAACTTCGCTACTTCCGCCCTCCGGGGATCCAAACGACGCCGCTTTTGAGAGGTGGATCCGACAGATTGGCTAGCCAGGTTGCAAATGGCGTCAAGCTCCCTCTCCCCCTCCCATGGGTCGGGGAAGCTCCGAAGTCTCCCGGTTTTTGCCAATGGAGCGCCCTTAACCCCCCTCCCCTAGGACGAAAACCCCCAAGGACAAAATACCCCAGAACTTAATTTACTATCCCCCACATTAGTGCAGTGGCAGCGCAAAAGCTAGCAGAACCAAGAGAGATATGGACAAATAGAAGTCTTTGTTTTCCCGTTATTGAACAGCGTAACCGAATTGAACAATCTTTCTGCGAATAGACTGTGAAAAATGAAAAAAAAATCTATTTTTTTTTTGGTTTCTGAGAATTTGACAAACCATTTCAAAGTCCATCATAACAGAAACTGGTGCTTTCAAGTCTGATTTTAGATTAAACCAGTGTTTGTTATAGAGTGCCTGGACCCACTATTTCTTCTCCATTTAGTGTGTGCATATACTTCACCAGTAGCTCAAAATGCAGCCCAGCTGGAATAGGTGGATGGCATTTGTTTTCATGGCTAATTCTTCTGATTCACCTTTGATGTTTAGGACTACCGGCATCTTTGAGGAACATTCGGATGTCACGTGTACTAAGGATGAAGAAAAAACTTTCTGCGTAGAGGCGTCTATGTAAGTCGCCGCATCCTCTTTAGATTTCGCATTGATTGCATATGTTTCCATTAATGCATGATCAGGTCCGTAAGTGCGTTTGTTTATGTGTCGACGATAGTTTAAAATTAGCTAGAAAAATTAACGTGAAATTGAGCTCAAAAAATAACTAACACCAACCCCCAAATTAAAATTCCGTGGTCAGGAGGTCTCATAGTTTCACACGTAGAAAAGGATCATTTTCTAGGAATCAGGGACTACATTTCACACTATCCGTCATCTCAGTGGAAGCGCGGGATTTTTGTCTCATGAACGTGAATTCAAAGCCTTTTGTTCAAAATTACATGTTTGAGATTCGAACTTACGCCGAATGGCTCAACGTAATTTCCTTTTGGTGGAATGAAAACATAGCCAACCGAAGATTGGAAAAGAGTATTGAACGCAAGTAAACAGAAAAAAAACAATGAATTTGTTTAAAAAATCTAAAATTTAAGTTCCTCTTTCGAAACTAGAAATCATTTACGTTTTTTCGAACCATTTCCACGTTCGTGTTTGGAGATTGCTACTTACGTCAATTCACTTTCAGCAGATGAACTTCAATTGAACAAAAAAAGCATTATACCTAAGTGCATCAATATTTTACGACTTTTTTCTGAAAATAAAAATCAGAAAGACCTATAAAAGAGTCTTCACTACGTTCATTACTCTTAAAAAACGCCAAAAAATGACACACAATTTTCGCATGTTTGTCTCGAATTAAACTCATTTCGATGAAAATATGTGGCAAAACACTTTTGCCAGCTTTAAATAACCATTAACAAAACTATTGAGCGGCAACTACCAAAAGTCTGTAAAAAACAGAAACCGTAGAGAACAGTATAGATTTTTTGTTCAAAAATCTGACGAGCCATTAATTTTAATCGAGTTGTAAATAGAAATTCTCAGATATCATGAGGACAAGTTGCTAGAAACTAAGACCAAACAATCAGAAGAAAAAAGTTATCCAAAAGAAAAACGTTGCCGAAAAATCTGTTTCCTATTTCATTTTTCTTCAGTCGTCTACTTTTTAATTATCTTTACCCAATTTCTCAACTGGAATAGACTCGCGTTGTTATATTTCACACCTGTTCTTAAGAGATCATTTTTTCTAGAAATTAAGGATTCCACTCGAAATGCTATAATGCAGAATTTAGTCAAATAAAACATGTTCGAGAGAGAAAGACTAGTTTAAGATACATAATCCGATAATACGCTCAAGAGTTGCGCTCAAGAAGCTATCAACGCCTTCCAGTGTGTTTGAAGAATGTTACAAGCAGCAGGATCATTTGAATCAGAGCTGTATACATCAGAATGAAGAGAGTATCAAATCCTGGGCTCTCATCTTCCATTCGGTATCTGTGCAAAATTGGAGAATATAACATCTGACTGTCATTTGGAACTGGTGGGACAGAAGCGTAATCATCAATTCCAGGTGCAGCAGTTGACATTTGAGAGTCCCCTGGTGGCATATTGGGATCAAACGCCTCATTTCCAGGCACTGACAGGATATCGCATCCAGTTGCATTGATCAAATACTTGGGATTTTTGAATTCATTGTAAATTAAGGACCTCAGTGAGTACTTGTGAAATGCGATGTTGTGGAAAAGTCTCCATCCCGTAAACCATTCATTTGGTATTTCATAGCTTGGCAACAGGAACCCAGCGTTTATCATGAATATACCGTAGATACCGGCACCAATAGCTAACCCAACGATGAACTGATTAGTCAAAGAAGCCACCAAGTTCATGATTGACTCAGCGCAAAGTAGCGTGCAAAATAGGATCCAGAAGAACCACCCAAAGCTCTCCAGTCCCGTTATGACAAATATCAAAAATGCTGACACTAAGGTAGCTAGTATGACTCCTGGAATCATTGCTATGAATGTTGACAAGATGTATGGCGTCACTGATACTAGTCCATTGGCTCGCTCTTTACAGAACACTGGGCGAGCTAGAATCAGATATGGCAACGCGGCGACAGTCATTATTACGAGATACGACTGAACAAAAAATATCATGCCCGCTTTGTATTCGTCTTTGATGCTAATCGACCGAGTGAACATGGCAGCAATTATCAAGTCTAGAAGGATGTAAATCACAATACGAGACCAATAGAGTCCAGGGTGTAACAAGTTATTCCACAGAGCACGCGTGGTCAAGTAGCGAATCTGGGAGACTACACCGGCTCTGAATCGGTGTTTGGTGTTATCCTCCAGATATCGAGGGTTCTCGTGCAGGAACTGCAACGCACGTTCTCTCTCAAATTTAACTGTGTCGAAGATGTCCCGATGTAGTTGAGAGCTCAGGTACACGTCATTAAGCTTGTCAATCTTCACATGACCTAAGCAAACTTACACTGAATACAAGATAAATGAAAAAAAAAATGAATTAACGAAAAAACTCGCTTCTAATAATAATGACTATTTCATTCTGATTGATTTGCTAGTTGATTTGAAAGCAATAGAAGATAAAAACGGAACAGTAAACTAGCAAAATGATTTCTTCAGTCAAAATATGATCTTTTCCATCGAGGCGACTTTTACAGGTCTTTTTTTAACATTCAACAACTTTCTGGAAATAGGTAGTTGGAAAACTAGACAGACAAAATTAATTTTTTCGTTTTGACAGAGTTTAGCATGCAGCTTCGATATTTCAGAGAGCCTAGAGACATAAATCTTGTCTGAAAGACTAGCTTTTGCATGCAACATTTTATCATATAAACCAATTGCTTTTTCAATTAATTTTGTTACTAAATATACTCATGCTTAATTACCTTTGAAGTCGTTGTTGACCAGGTCCAGCATATAATCAGCAGGGTTGCAGTTGGGGGGAATGTCCTGGCCAGAGGCAGTGGTGAGCATTGGGATGGCTTCATTGACTGGACCAGCGTACAGAAGTAGTCCCCCCGACAGGAGAGTGAGGGAGGAGAATGTGCTCCACACTCGCGAGGGGGGCTGGTGCACAGAGAAGATCACTGTCTTGCCTGCAGCCACAAAATAAACAAAAGAAATAAACATATTGAGCTAACGCGCCATTTTTTAATTTATCGAATAAAAGCACAGCCAACATACAGTTGGAACAGTGTAAAACAACAAGGAAACCCAAAAATATCTGATCGAAAACTTCAACTTTCGAGAAAAATATATATCACATTGAAGCTCTTTGAAGTTGAAACATCGTTTATGGTTGGCACTGTAATTGCTGATACTGTAATTTCCCTTCCTTTTAATAAAAAAAAACGAGCTGAACTTAAAAAAAAATCGAAAGTCAACACACGAAAAAAAATCGAAAGTCAACCCACGAAAAAAAAAACAAATTTGAGCGTGAATAAAGTTTCACGAAGAATCAAACAAACAAACAAACAAATAGAATCATCAACACCAATATAAGTGAATATCACTTCGTTCTTTTACTCGTAATAGCAAAAAAAACCAAGAAAAAAGAACTAGCCGGTTTCTGGCGTTTAAATACCCATCCAACACGTTTACACGTTTAGACGTGTAGTTGTGGTACCTGGATTTGCGTGAAAAAAAAACATCAGAATCAAAAACTCCACAGTTTCGGTAGTCCGAACAGTAATTGTCTTGCTTAGTATTTTTGGGGGCTCTTAGATGTGAGCTAATGCAAAGATTAAAACATTCTGGCTTTGAAATTTGGTAGACCAGATCTTGAAATACAAGGGCCAAATAATATTAATAATAATCATAATAATAATGAGTATAAATTAAACCCAAACGATATCTAGTTACAGATTTATTTATATAAATTTATACAAACAAATCTGAACTGCTATTAGGGCAAAAATATCAACAAAGCAACGGTTTTCAAATTTTTCTTTTCATGTGCACCAATTGGGTGCTAAAATTGAGCAATATTACCTGTATCAGCAAGATTTGTCAGAATATTCATTATATTCGAGGCAGCTGCTCCGTCTAATCCAGACAAAGGTTCGTCCAGAAACAAAATCCACGGCTCTTTCAAAAGTTCCAGTGCAATACTCAGACGTCGCTTCTGACCGGTCGAAAGTCCACGGAACAGTTCTCCGCCTATGCGCGTATGTTTGCATGATTCCAAGCCCACTTTGTTCAAAACACTGCGCACCTTTCGAATCTTGTCCTCGTAAGACATGGATGTCGGGAAGCAGAGATTAGCTGTGAACATCATCGTTTCCTTCACTGTGAATATTTCGTAGAAGGCGTCGTTAACATCCACGTAACATGTGTAAGTTCGAAACTCCTGCAACATAACATGACTTAATAGAAAAAAACTCCTGGAACATGACTTTGTAGGAAAAAAACTCCTGGACCCTGACTTTGTACAGAGGCGAAGCTACGCAAACACTAGCGAAAAAAAAGACAAAAAAAAGTAGCTCTATAAAGTGAAATAAGGAAAAGTTGAAATAAGCCTCGAATTAGTAAAACTTTATAGCTGTGTCGGATTCGATCCAGCGACCTCGGGTCATGGGTGCTTTATTATGGTCAAGCTAACCACGAATAAATCAGAGAAGAGATGCAAAGAAATTTCCAATGCTACAGGTAGTGGTTATAGCAAAAGTGCCACCAAACTGGGCAGGATGCATTTTTTCCAGTTGATTTTAGGAAAGCTCAAAAAGGGGTCAAACTTGGTATCATATTTAAGCGGGATCTCTTTACTATTCGCTATAGTACCTAGTAAGAATAACTAGCCCAATAACAAAAACCAATTCATTGGTTACGCTTTTACGGGTTTTGTACCTAGTAGCAAATTTCACCCCTTTTGCAATCATTTCAGAAATTCTTCTACCTCCCCTCACGGCAACGAAAATAAAGTACGCAAAAATTTGACAAAAATGCTCTGCTCACGTCTGAGTTTCTTGGAATGCCGTTGATGAGAATCTCGCCCAGGATTTCTCCACTTGATACGCGATCTGCCAGAATATCCAGTAGCGTAGTCTTTCCGCTTCCAGAGGGACCCATCAGGGCCATGATGCCTCCTTTGTGCACGTGGCCAGTTATGCTCTGAAGGAGTACCTTGCGATCCCGCTTCCAGGGCAGGCGACTACAGGGAACAGTGTAGGACAGATTCTGCCACGCCATCGAATACCCTTCCGAATTCACACCTTAAGTATTCAAATCAAATGAACTTGTCTTGCAGATTTCACTTACACATATTATTTGCGGAGATTAAAACATTTTCTGAACAAACAAAAAAATTTTGTGAATAGTAGGACCAATTGTCAACGTAATACTTTTCGCGTATAATGAAAATGTTTAAATTATTTTTTCCAAACAAGCTTTTTACCAAATTTAAAATAACCGGTGAGTTGATCCGGCAACGAGTCGTTCCAAATTGAATTCACGAAAGCTAATTGGTCTAAAAAACGCGTTAATAGACGAGTAATAATCATTTTTAACTTAAAATTGCGTGTGAGGGGAAAATATTGGTAGAAAATTATAAGTTTGAACTTGGTAGTTCATCAGTTTTGGTTTGATCAAAACCACCTTTACATACCAGAAAGGAGCAGCCTTGTACCAGCTATTGTTGACTCGCATAGTTTTACATTAATAACAGAGGGGAAGCAGAGCTTCTCACCAACTACGATACATCACTAACATAGCATGGCAAGACAGCAGACAGAAAAAAAATTGAAAAAAAAACTGCCTAACAAGTTTGTTTATAGGTGTCTCGACGAACGAATTTCAAGGTGAAGAACATAGCCAACAGATAGTTGGAAACGAGTCAATGAACAGAAAGAAACACAGACGTCAATTTTAAAAAATAAAACATATGACCATAAAGCTCTTTGATTTTTAAGAACAATTTTTGGCGGGCACTTTTTTGATAAAAAATAGTCCAATGCGAGAAAAATTAATTAATAGATAAAGTTTTTTATCTGCTGCGAAACGCAAAATTTTTGGCGAAAGAAGTATAAAATTTGAATTCTTGAATAACATTTCATCTGGCAGAGTAACTTATTTACAAAAACTATCTTAGCAGCATGTACAATTGATTGAAAATGAACTGACTATTTTATGCTTTATTGTTCTCAAATTTAATAATTGCACTATACTCAAAATTACTACCTATTGTAACATATCATCGGAATATGGGTGATTTTTTAAATTTTAATCGAAGTTTTTTAATTTTAATTTAATAAAAATTTAAACTTACATTACTTCGATTAATATTTTAAAAAAATCACCCACATTCCGATGTTATGTTACAATAGAGTAATTTTCAGTATAGTGCAGGTATTAAACTTGAGAACAATAAAGCATAAAATAGTTATTTCATTTTCAATCAATTGTACATGCTGCTAAGATATTTTTTGTAAATACGTTACTCTGCCAGATGAAATGCTATTCAAAAAATCAAATTTTATACTTCTTTCGCCAAAAAATTTGGCTTTCGATATAAATTATAAATACTGTTCGATGTACAACAGAAAAACAATCCAGCTGTTCAACTTGAACCTGCGGCTTTTTTCCAGTTCCCTACTTGGAATTTTTCGGAAATTCTATATATGAAAGTCTATTCAAAATGACTTTTCATGTGAAAAATTGCTTCAAAATGTGTCAGCGTGAACAATCTTAACAATATTTCTGACATGCAAAACGCTGTGCGAACAATTTTTGAAGAGCTCTGAACCAATCGATTTTGTAATTTTACGAGGGGGTGGGAAACTGGAAAAGAGCCGAACCTGCCACTTATTGTACTATATGACACACAGTCCATCCAACCAACCAACCTGGTTCCACTCTGTATCCATTCTGACTCTGAGTGGACGTCGCAGTTTGCGGTGGTCTCACATCTCCATTCGGGAGACTATACTTCACGTCAGCTGAACTGTTATCATGGCCCTTCTTGTTATCATGGCCTTTCTTGTCCACACTGCTCGACGGGACGACCAGTTGGACATCGTCCACAACAACCACCGAATCTTTAGAGATTTTAGACGTGATACTCCCCCTATCTGGCGAGTACTTGTGCTGCAACATATCAGCAGCTTAAGAATAATTGCTTAAGAAGCCACAAACGTTGAAAGAAGGATAATTTGTTCTTTTTTCAGGAAGAACAAAAAAAAAGATTACTCAGCGTCGTAAGAAAAATGGAATTACACTTAGACATACAAAACATAAAAATAATTTTCAACGCATATTTATATGCGTCAGCCTGTTGCAAAAACTGAGCATAGCATTAAATGCAACAAAATGGTCGATGGTCTAAAACGTGTTCAGACAGGAAATAAATAGGTATAAACTCAACAACGCATTTTCTACCACACTATAATTTATATTTTCAATAAAATCAGAAACGTTGAAAAGTTTGCTTCAATGATTGGGCATGGCTGGAACTAATGAACTAATCTACGAATACGAATTTATGGGAGACCAAGTTAACCAACCCCCCCCCCCCCCCCATCCCCCCAGCCGTTAAGGGCAGAGGATGTTAATTTGGTTCTGAGTTAGAACTTTCAGCCAATCTTAACAGAGCATTTAACACGCAGCGCTTTGAAAATTTCATTAAAATTGAACGCTGGGGTGTAGGATCTTAACTTGGCCTATTTGCTATGCGGTGGGTCTATTTGCTACAGTCCTTGAAGCGACAAGTCTTCGGAAGCGACAGTTGATTTAAAGCGATAATTCGACTTTTTCAAATACGCGGTAATTCTATTAATGCGATATATCGGATCAAAGGACAATTCGTAACAGTAGCTTGACTGGCAAGCAGTGATTCACGCGGGTAGCTAAAGGCGCGAAGGCCGTTCGCACTTGACCATAGCCCCTCCTTTCCCCGCGTGAATCAGTGCTTGCCGCTCAATTTACTTTTAAGAACTGCCGCTTGGCCCAAAAAAAAAGGCCGAATTGTCGCTATTTGAAAAAAAATATGAATTGTCCTTTTCGAGCAAATGCCACTTTCGACGAGTTTTCGCCTCACTCACGCCGAATTTAAGCGCAGAGGCGCAAGAGGTTGCTACTTGCCAACTGCTTTTTACGAAAACTCCACCAGTCATGGCTTTCGAACAGTTGTCACACTGACTACCCAGGTCTGCTCCAGACAGTTGGAAAACTAGCCAACAGATAGTTGGAAAAAAGTCGATAAACGCACGGAAAGTTTGAAAAAATCAAATTAAAAAAATCAAACTTTCAAAGGAAAAATAGAAGCCCTTGACTCGCATTGAATTTCTAGAAAAATTCATGATTGGTACTTTTTATTAATGAACTGAACTTGAAAGAAATCAAACGTCAAACGTCTTGGAAAAAAAAATTATCGCGACCTATTTACAAGAGTCTGTACTACGTTCATCGACTCTTAAAGTAGTCTTTGGGGGATATCGGGGAAGGGGGACTTCGTTTCTCACTGATAGGATACATAGACTTACCTCTTGCGAATTGAAGCTCTGAGTTGACAATCTTGATGACAGAGACCTGGAGCCATCATACCTTGAGAGGTAATCAGTCTTCTGAAAAATATGACACAACAATTTAGACCGCTCTGTTGCGACTGCTGCCATTCACTAACAATCAAGGGCTACACTATGTTAACTATTTTATTAACTACTATCTCCATGGATAGAAAAACACTTGCTTAGGATTGAAAAATTAATAATAGTTATTTTTACAGCCGGTTGGCCTATTTTTTGAAACCAGACTAATTCAGATTTAATTCAACCCGAATTATTTCACTTCTTTTCAAAATCTCTCTTTCATATTTTCCTTTCATAATCTTCCTATTCATAATCTTCAACAAAAATCTAACTCCCCCAGCGGCAACAGCTTTCCACTTAGATATCTGGTTGGCCTACATTTTTGAATCCAAGCTAATTCAGAGTCTTAGTTCAACCCGATTGATTTCAAATTTTTTTATTTCATAGTTTCTATAGAAAAACCGATTAAACTAACGGAAAAACCATCAAGGCAAAAAATGATTTGCAGATCTAAGTTGGACAAAGCAGGACCCTTGCCCTAACTGAGTATATCAATTTTCCTATCCCTAACCCTAACCTAAAAGCACGTACGGGTAAAAAGAATGATACAGACTTGAAAAAATGAAGATTGACTCGAAAAAAATTTAAGGCTCATATTATTGCCAAAAAACGTTCAAACAAAAGTTGGCAAATTGTCATTAAAGAAATCACATTGAGCGTTCCTTTTAATGAAATTATTTAGCTGGACAGAAGAGGCTAAAACTGAAATCAATAGATATTCAAGTCCACCGAAACTTTATTTTACAATGATTAAGATTAATAATTGAAACAAACAAAAAGGCACCATTAAAAATGGATATTCTAAATTCTGCGTCAAGGCTACGCAAATCTTACAAGGTTGTAATCTAATCATTTGAAAACAGTAATTCTGCATATAGAAGCGCAAAAACAAACAGAACTGACAAATATTTATTTAGATTTCCGACGCCTCAGAATTTTGAAGTCCCCAGTGTTTTGTTTTGAAACCAAGATTGAAACTTGACAATTTGCTGAGTTACTTGTTTGTTTATAAAAATATATGACTCCGCGCCTGGGGATGTTTTATTTGTTTAACAAGCACCATCAAACAAAATGGCCAATTTGACCGTTTAAACTTCCGTAATTTTGACCTGAAATATTTGTGAATACATAAATTTTCGGCAATGTTGAACAAGAACTTACTTTCGCTTTGTTGTACTTTGGCACTGTTGTATTGCCCCCTCAGAACTGGCCACCAAAAAAAAACAACACACTAAAAATAGCCTTCAACACAGAGGCGAAGCTTTGCGCAACTTGCGATGCAACAAAAACAAAAAAAGTCGAACAAAATGGAAAAATACAAATCAAAAAACAAACAAAAACTGGGTCTACCAAACTTACTTTTCTCAATATTTCTCGATAGATTATCATTTCAGGCAAAAATCCCAAAAAGTTAAGCAATAAATTAGCCTCCACATGCGGTCTGATTTTGCTTTCCCATGAACCAGAAGTAAAATTATTCAAGTGATTCTGTTAAACTATTTGTTAACCCGAAAACAGTCTGTTCTCCGATTTGATAAGGTTTGCTAAAACGCAAGCGTAATAATCTTCACCAAAGAGATTTGATACATTGAGCAGGTCTCTCAAACAAAAGGGAGTGAAATTTTGAACATATATATAAGATAAGATGTAGGTAGTGGGTACATTGAAAGAAACTCAGAAATTGTAAATTACCAAATTGACCATTCTGTTAACCAAGTTATTTACGGAGATTGTGAAAATTGTCTTATCGCAAGGGTATTTAGCAACGGAAAAAAAACATACGAAGCGGGGAAAAGCTTACAATTTTTGAGCAAACAACAGTTGAGCCAAAAAATATATTTTAATGAAAAATTTTAAGTACACACAATGAACAACGCTTGCAAAATCCGGGTTTGTGACAACTCAGACAGTGCAAAGCCTTTAGGGTGCAAAAGTGAAAGCCTTTAGGGTGCAAAAGTGAAAGCCTTACTTCTAGCAAAGGTGAAAGCCTTACTTCATGTACAATTTACAATTTCTACTTTTCATCACTCTGTTAGCAAAATTATTTACGGGAAAAAAGCCTAATCCTTGATGTGGGAACTGTGTATATGGTAATCGGGTATGGTGAATCGTAAAGGTTAATAAAAAAACTACTATGTAATTTTGCTGCATCAAACAATAGACTTTGATCTACGCGTCTGAAAGTAGAAAAACATTAGAGAAAACTAGCTCACTTCGCTTTTGAGATGGCTTCAATATATGCCACTCATCCCTACCAGATTTTGTGAAACCAGATTTTATTTTGATAAACAAAGCCCTGCTCGAAACAAAAAATAATTACCGTTTTTTGGTCTGCGTTGGATTCCATAAACAAGAAATGCGGCCAAACCGTTCATCAGAAAAATAAACAAACGTAATCTAAACTACTTGCTGTCTGTGTCTACTACCAATAACGCCTATAACTCAAATTAACCAGAACCGATAAAAATTCACGAAAAAACGGTGTGAACTTCTTTTATACGCGTTCTACTACGTGATTATACAGCTTCAAAAATTATTAAACCATTGCATATATTTAATAAATATCAACTTAATGGTAATCTGAAGAAACCATTAAGTTAATACGATTCATGAAAACTTATTCGGATCAAAAATATGATGAGGCAATAAATGAAACCATATTATTCTGGTCAAATGAGAGTAAGAAACTTTCTTTTTAGAGAAGTGTGCGCTTAATCAAAAAATATCTAAGACAAGTGATGAAAACGATATTTTCAATAGCTTTCAATAACGCTCGTGTGGGCAGCCACTTTAGGGAGTGTGGTTTGAATGCCGATGACATTAGCGCCAAGATTATTGACGTCTCGCCTGACAGGTCAAAGCTGTTGACTTTGGAAGCCCTCCATATTGCGATGAAGAACCCTGCCTTGAACAACAGGGAGGAGTACCGCGCCCGAGAGCTTACCTTACGCCTGTAACGGCCTTATTTCTTTGTATCAGAGTATTCTGACGAGAAATATCCTTTTATTCTATTCTTTCTCTTTCTTACTTTCTTTTGCTTTGTTTTTTTTTTACTTTGGTTTGCATTGTTATCAAACAAATTACTTCAGATTAATGCTGATGATGTCTTCTTGACGAAAGCGCTTCAATTTTTATATGGTACGTTGTTATCTTATTTCTAGCTTTCAATAACTTTGAGAAAAATAAACGCTTCATTTTGAATACTTTACAATCCACTTTTCTTTTTGGATACTCATTTACAACTATGTAAAATTTTACGGATATTATTTACTTAACCGCTTTTGGCTCTTTTTGCTCAACCCCCCCCCCCCACCCCACCTGCAAATTTTTATATTACAAATTTCTGATCACATTGTCCGATTGTCATGAAAACTGACATGCAGACTGATTAGGCCATGACAAACATATTTGGTCCTCATAATTAACCTTGTAAAACCTCTAGTTACACCATAAAATTAATGTTTGAGTGAGGTGGGGGGAAGGAAAAAGAGCCCCGCTCTTTCCCTGCAACTAAAAAAATAGAGCAATTAGCCTACAGAGTAAAAACTTCTAAAGCCATCTGGGCAAATCCAGTGTATAGAACATTTGAAAAAAGCTCAATATTGATTTTCTTTACCATAGATTCATAAAAAACTTATTCGGAAATTTCCTCAGACAGCGGCTGTCGTTAGCCGTCCAGATTGGCAATGCAGCCATTGTGAGAGTCGATAGAACGTGCCAAAGAAGTAGTTAAAAAAGGTAAATTCTAAAATGGGCCCTTCCGTTTAGGTACGGTTGTGCACAAGCTGGATAGGGCCCATACCAGCATTATATAAATACATCAATAAACAATATTGCAGGAATTAAATTAAGTCAGCATTTAAGGCATTTTCATTAAAAGTATTTTCTTCAACCGTCCCTCCTCTACAACAGCAATAACTGAATTGCGTCTATGAATTGCGTCTTACGCAGTGATCTGCAACCCCGGATACAAAGGATAGCGCTCCTGAGCAGCGCGAAGCTTATCTAACTTAGTTCTTATATCGTTTATTGTTTCTGCGTAGCTTTCATGTCTTTTTTCACTAAGTTTTTCAGCTATGCGCTGCATTGTCCGAGTAGCTGCTGGCGCGGCACCACCAGTGCAGCAAAAAATGAGCAGGCAGACGCTGCTCTGTTCGACTTGTAGAGCTCTCTGTTGGTATTTTGAATTTTTTAGAGACTCGTGGTACTTATAGGCGTCTTTCAGTAGTCTTCGTGCGGGTTGAAGACTTTGACATCGCAGAAGGTTCGGCTAAACCTTAAGCCCTATAATCCGTTTGCTTTTACATCTAGTCGAGCGTCTTCATCAGTTGTGGTTGAATTGTTGACGAAGCACTCGCCTTGCAACGACTGAAGTTTCGGCTCTATTTCGACATCAAAGCAAACCTCGCTCATGAGGTTGGCAAAGGTATCTCATCTCCGATTTCGTTATGCCGCATGTGGGGGTATCCACCATCTACCAAAGAAGTAGTAGTAGTAGTAGGTCAGTCTTTAGAGCTCTTGACTCAAGGATTTGCAACCCTCAATTTTGGTCACTTATATTTTCTGCATCGGACTGCAACTGCCACAATTGCAAATGATTCTCCATGTGCAAGAGTTTATTTCACAATATTGTTCAAAAAAACTTCCAATAGATTTTTGTTAGAACCGGCTTCGTCATCTCACTAATCTTGATTTGTTTTCTCTATACTGATGTTTAACAATCTGCTAGCTCTCCTCCAGAAGTTTTCATCCGCTTTTTTTGTTCTTGTTTTTTCAAAGATTATTCGATTACCGCTGGTTTGTCTTGTTTGGATGTCATTTCCAGGGTTTTTCTTTCTTGATACGGATTTTCTGATGTTATAATTTCCTTGCATGATGGATAGTGAGAATAGGGCATCGTCTAGTTCGAAGTACATATATAAAGGCAGGAGTTCTAGTTGTTTTAATCTATTGTTGTACTTATCCCATATGCCAAGTATCCATGAGGTGGCCCGTTTTTGGATTTTTTCGATATCCCTCATTTCACCTTTGTTTGCTGACCATGCCTGAGATGCGTATGCTATTACAGGGACTACATACCCTTTGTATGCGTTCAGTTTCAAATATTTATTCTCTAGTTTCGATACGTTGCGTTTTAGAAAATAGAAAGCTCTCCAGGCTTTGGAACATACACAATTTGCTTTCCAATTTAAGTTTATCGTCATTATAGTACCTAGATCTTCTTGTTTTTTTTTACAACTTGGGCCATTGGTATTTAGCATTAAATTATTAATTTCGCATTTCGTTTTGATTGGTGGTATATAGCATTTATCACTATTGAATTTCAATTCGTTGTCTGAGCACCATTTTTCTATTTTATTTATGTATTCTTGTAGATTACAAGGGTCAGTATTTGCAAGTTTGAAATCATCTGCATACCCAAAAGTTTCGCTATTTTTAATATAGTTGTAAATCATTTATAAATAGGATAAAGAATAGGGGTTCAATTATTGACCCTTGTGGCACACCACTAGTTACTGATGCTATTGGGGAGCGCTTATCATTTATTTCCACTTATTGTCCCCCGTATATTAAGTAGCTTGCAATAATTTTCACAAAGTTTCCGCCAATCCCAAATTGTTGGATTTTGTCTTTTAATTTTTGGTGAGGAACGCTGTCAAATGCTTTAGGAAAATCTAGGTAGAGAACATAAAGTTCAGTTTCAGTTGAAATGTCATATTTTTGGTTCAGATGGTCAAGAAATTGTAGAAGTTGAGTCATCCCCAATCGCATTTTACAGAAACCGTGCTGGGATTCATGCAAATTTTTGTTGGTTAGATCATCCACTGGGAACATAGCGACGACATTGGGATTTTTCTCGAGGATGTGCAGCTTGCAATCTCTGGAGATGCTAGAATCCGAGTACCACTTGGTGACGGCGTTGAGCGTCGAATCATGTCCTGGAGTGTTGCAAATAACCCAAAAGCACATCAGAGAATGGAAGATTGGTCTTGAGGCGGAGATGGGGTTTCCCGTCGTGAGTGAAGCCTAGAATTTGCCAGTGAACGCGAAGTCCCTAGTGGGATCGGTGATGGCCAACCTGTGTGGAAGCCACTACCCGTTACAAATGGCGATGGTGGAGGCATCCAGTCAGAGGGTATTAGTCGATAAAGCCTTTTCGATACCCAAGTGCACGCCCGGCTCGTGTGGTTTCCAGAGCATTTGAAGCTCTGCTTGATATGGGACATGGAAGAAGTTCGGTCGATTGGATTACCCGATCATCAGCAGAAGGTCTACTTTTTCGTGGTGAGCTCAATGCGTGCAAGGTATTCTCTATACCCATGGAGGTGAGGCACGTGCGGAATTGCATAAGATTCTTACCACAGTTTCGAGCGACGTTGACGTCTTGGTTGTACTCGGTGACGAAGGACCAGATGAAGAACCATCAGAAAGAGTATCGACAGTTCTTGGCTGAGATAGGGCCGGAAGCTTTCAAAAGACCCTTGGTAACCCATCGCAATGAAATTACTATGGGTTAGAAGGGAGTTGGTAAAGTGTCTAGAGATAAAACCAAGGCTAGGGAATCAATATTGGAGGACTTGGCGAAGAACGTGAGTTTGAGCTTGCACAACTCCTTTTACTTGAACAAGGAATCCAAGGTCAAGAATTTGCCAAACCGATCGGGCAAGAGCACGAACAACTAAAAGGTTGGGAAGAGATCACGATCAGTTCCGACGACGAAGAAGAGCTGTCGAGCAGATTACAAAGTCGATTGTATCAGGGCCCAGCATCTCCAGGACGAGGGGCTCGAACTTAGCAGTGTGCTTTGTGATGGATTCTTGACGCCTGAGCAGGGAATAAAAGAGGCTTGAGTGTAAACTCAGATGAAATCTGAGGTCACGGAAAAGAAATTTCAACGAACCGAAAGATTGTCATTATTATATTATATCTATTATAAAAATCAAAATACTGCATGACAATTTTGTGATTGGATGAGAATAAAGAATTTTTAATGATTAGCTTTTAAAGCTGGAATTCAGGGTGCAGGTGGATGCAGATTTTGATTGCTGTTTAGTGATAATGTGACAACTTTGAATGGCTGTAAATTTTGGGGTGTAGATAATGTTAAACCTGCTGCAAACTTCTGCATATGACCACTGGCACAGTATCTTGAGACGAACTCAGCTTTCTGGGGGTTCACTGACGGACGGCGACACGCAATGAGGACATCGATCTTGAGTCCGGGGAGTATGTGCCAGTCGGTCAGATTTGGAAGTTTGACCTTGAGCAACGATCAAGAAACAGTATTTTGGGGTGAAATAGAATTTTCAAAATTTCAAAAACTCGAATTGAGCCTATCATGCTCAAGTTTCTTGCGACAACTAAAAATACGAGAAAATAAGATCAGAAGAACCGAACTACAATCGCGGGAAAGTAGTCAAAAATTAGCAGCGGGAAGTTGCTATTCGCAATTTCCGGATATAAAATTGAACGAGAGTAGAGCTGTTTTATTCTTGGGTGAAATCAGAGTGATCGCGAGTGGAGAAGAGAAGTTAGAAGTGGACAAGAGTGAACCTTCGGTCGGAAGGTGGACAGCTGAAGCTATCCATTGGTCCAAATTGTTTCTTGTGTTAAAACTTAATCATTTCAAACTTCTCGAGTTAAACTTAATGACCCAATTAATTCTAGAGTTGCTTCACGATTTCTTTACTCAATTCTAGAGGTCGTGTCGGTATGCGAGTACCTAATTTAAATTTTTTGATTAATTTTTATATAGTTATGTTGAGTTAGGGAGAGTTTTTAGGTTGATCCATCTGAAACGGATCAAAGGTCCACTGTCTAATAAAAAGTAACTATACATAAGGTTCCAACCCTGTTTTTAACGTCGTTCGCGTGTTTTAGGTAATTTGAGATCTGCGTATGGGGACGTTCTTATTTTCTAGTATGAGGGTGTATTTTGGTAGTAGCCTTAAATCTGTAACGCGAGTTCTAGTCTCATGTCGCAAGTGAACCGAATTGGCTCCAACCGCTTGAGGTAGAAAAACGCAAGAGAAATTGTCCCTGGTTCTTGAGCCAATGGTTAAAGGGCCTATTTTACTTAAACCTCATAGGTGACTTAAGTAGGCATCTGGTACATTTAGTGACAGTTATTTCGGGTCAATGAGGGTCTATTGAAGATGGATTGACCCTTTCCTCTTCCTAGCTACTCATGCTCTGAAATATTAAAAAATATTGGAGTTAATTCAAGTGTTCAGGGCAGGGAGTTCAAACTCAAACTCAAACAGTCAAACATCAAACTCAAACTATTCCTTTCAAACTCAAACTCAAACTGTAGACGTCTATATTCTCAAACATCAAACTCAAACTCAAACCCTGCCTGTTTTTGTGTAGGATTTTTTCCGTAAGAAAATCGCGCATTATTTTTTAATTCCGTGGATCTTTGACATTCTATTACTATCAGGCATTTCGAATCGGAGTCGAATAATCGGTTCGAATAATTTCAGTGCTGTGAATGTCGGGAGAGAATGCTAATGATGCAATCCTGCGCCAAGAATGGAAGAAGCCGACTTCTACAAGCAATTCAGTTCATGATTTTTATTTGGTTGAATATGTTGGTGGACTAAAAAAAGATCGCCGGAAATGTATTAGATGCGGTATTATTATTTGTGCCAAAAATAGTGGCACAACAACGTTGAAGAGGCATACCACTACTTGTAGAAAACGTTCCGCTAAAGAATTGTCTAATCAATGATTAGTCGATTTTGTTCGGTTGCCAAAGCGTGAATCTAAAAAAGGCCTAGATGAAGTAGCAAAGACGGTTTATCGGTATCACATCCCGATAACACGAGCTGTCAACTGCGACGTATTTCAGACTTGCTATAAACGAATGGGGTTTGCTAACGTTACATATAGTTCTGTAAATGAAGAACTGAATGCCCAGTATGAGTCACTTATGAGCAAAGTTAAGCAAATGATACGAAACAGAGACAACAAAGCGATGGTAATGATATCTTTTGACAAGTGGACGTCCTCTGATTATAAAAAGTACTTGGGTGTTTACATATACATTAATCGCCTGCCTATTATGCTTGGTTTGCTCCCATATGTGGGCTTTTGTGGAGCTGAGGAAGTCGGTATATTAATCAAGAATCTACTTGAACAGTTTGGCCCTGGAGTAGCTGACGTTCATCTCGCAGTAACGGATTGTGGATCCGACGTCCAGGCGGCGTGTCGGGTGTTAAATTTACATAACTTCCCGTGCTTGGCCCACGTTATCAATTTGATTGTAAAACGGTTTGTAACAGGATTGACAGGGGATGTAACACGAATGGCTGATGAGCAGGTTACTGCTGAATCCGATGACGAATACAGTGAAGACGAAATAATCCCACCCACTTTGCAATTCTGTGACGTGATTGAAAAGGCGAGGCAAATCACAGCAAAAATTCATCGCACCTCTTCGCTGCAGGATAAAATCCTTCAACTTCAGAAAACTTTGAAGTTACGAGAAGTTAAAGTAGTGGTTGAGAACGTTACCCGATGGAATTCGCTTCTGTGTATGTTGGAAAGGTTTCTATCTGTAAAGACGGAACTTCTTGCCGCATTTCCTAATGAATTGGATGAATACGATTGGACACGATTATCGAACATCATAAGCATGTTGAAACTATTTCAGGTAATGATAAAATTTGTTGGTATATTCTTACCATAGAATAAAACATGAATATGTAACATAAAATGTGTGTCAACCAAATTAATGTTTTAGCAGTGCACTCTACGCCTACAACATGCCGATGCTGATGTAAAAGACGCTAGAAAAACTATTGTGTTCCTTCATCATATGGCAGGCAAAGATGAGGCCGTCGGTTTTGCGATTGAATCAGTGTTGGGGAAGTGGTTAAACCAGAACAGTGTAGTGAACGCTATTGTTAACGGGCATGGAGAATTTTACGATAAAATGAAATCATTGTCTGAAATCACACCTTTTGCCGATGATCATGATCATGGATATTCTGTACAGCCAACGCTGGACTTTGACGCTTTTAATGTGGATGATGATAAACAATCATTCGATATAGATGTGGCCATGAAATCGTTCAGACCTACAAGTGCCGACCCAGAGAGGCTTTTCTCTTTGACAAGAATTTCTCGAAACTTTTTGCAAAATCGCATGTTGCCCGAAAATCAAGCAAGAAATGCTTTCTTGAATAAAAACTGCTATCTCTTTAACTGATTTACTTCTGTTACTTGTTAATTGCTACTGTTGCTAATTGTTACTGTTAATTGCCAATAAATGGTAGATTTTTGTTGTTTTGGTTTAAATGCAATTTGGTCATTTTCAATAGAATCTACGCAAAAAACGGTGTATGTCATGCCAAGGTTAAAGACATGAAAATTGAGTGTCAACATAAAAAATTCAAACTCAAACTCAAACATCATTTCACTGTTTGAGTCAAACTCAAACATCAAACTCAAACAGAATTTACTCAAACTCAAACTTTAAAATCCAATGTTTGAATTCCCTGGTTCAGGGCATTAGAGTAGCTAAAAAAATGCGTTTATCACAGTCTCTAAGCAAAAAATAGTCTATGGGCACCTGGCCTCCAATTATGGGCTCTTCCGGAAGTTACGTCGTTATTTCTCTAATTTCGTGGCATTGGTCGAGAAATTTTCCGCCGCAATTCGAATTTTTAAAATTTATTTCTAGAACATTCCGACCCTCCTTTTCATACCAAGCTCGTGACTAACAACGCTATTGTTCTTTTTCTTGCTCGTCGGAGGGTTCGGCTGTGTCCATCCGGCGGAATGGAACATATGTTGGGCTTGCAGGTGTCACTGGTGGTAACTTGGGTTGGGTGGGCGCATGTTTATCGCAATATGTTTTTCAGAGGGCGTACTGTCATCCCAAAGTCTTTTCAACCAACCGTGTTATGACTTTACACAGTGCACACGAAGCTGTAACCAGTAAGACACTCAGAGCAGAACAGTCAGTTTTTTGGCCAGGCAATATTTTTGCGATATCTTTTGTCATGCCTAGCCAGAAAACTGACTGTTCTGCTCTGAGGGTCATACTGGTTACACCTTGGTGTGCACTGTGTAGTAGTCGTAAGACGGCTGGCTGAAGTGACTGTGACAGTACGACCTCTGAAAAACAGGCTGTCATCGTTTATGCTCAAGTCACTGCGGTGCTTCAAAAGGGCTAGAATATCATCTGTTTGGTCCACCGGGGCCGTTCCAGCAGCAATCTGATGAATAACTGTTCTGATAGTCGAATCTTTTGCGGACGCGTCATTGATTTTGGGAGCATCAAGTGGGCTTTTGCTGTCGTCGATCGAGCCGATGATGTAGTCGATCTCGCGCAGTGACTCGTCCCACGTTCCGTAGTTGTCGTTGGTTGACAGGGAGTGCAGCCAGTATTTAGACAGCCGCGTATTCATACTCGTCAGTATTTAGACAAATACTGTATGAACCAATCAGAATCGAGAAAAGACATAAATAATCCAAAATAAATAATAATTATTTATTAATTTCTTCTTTGTCTCGATTCTGATTGGTTGAAACAGTATTTGTCTAAATACTGACCAGTCTGAATACGCGGTTGTCTAAATACTGATATACTGTAACCGGTTGACAGATATAAAATCAGCTGACTAATTGTTGTGATAAACTTATTAAATAGATACTGCATAGCTGAGTCCCTGAGAAGATACAAAAGACATTGAACCATTTATTGAAATGCAGTATCTGAAATACACGAAGTACAATATAAAACGAGAATAGAAGCATCTAGGAAGCGGGGCTACCAGCTACTGAGCGAAAAAAGACAAGAAAGCTACCCTGAATCGATAAACTACATAAGAACTAAAATAAGCTTCGCGCTCCTGAGGAGCTCTATACTTTGTATGAGGGGGTACAGATCGCTGCGCAAAGTTCAATTTATCGACATCTCCATGAGCGCTATTGTAGAGAAAGGACGGCTAAGATAAATTAACATAACCACGATGCATTTAATGCTGAATTATGACTTCATTGCTGATATATATACGCATTTCTTTTTCGCCGGTAAGGCCCTATCCAGCTTGTGCACTTACCGTAATTTAACGGAAGAGCCTTTTTGTAATTCAATTGTTTTTAGAATTTGCTGATAAACGGATTTTACTTGACTGGAAATCCATCCTGTAAAGCCTTCTTTCCGTCGTGAATATGTGCATTGTCGTTTATCAGAAGCAGTTTTAGCTGCAGTGGAATGACCAGCTCAAGTTCCTAACCCCGTTAAAACGGAATACGTCAGAAAAAGCTATCGATACTACTTTATCACCGTCGCATTGAAACTAATGTTACAATTATGAAAAGATGTTCGATTATTTTTGTAGGTTGCGAATGAAGTTTAACGCGTTACGTGTTCGACTGAAAAAGCAAGGTTGATGTCTGGACAGAATACTTCAACCGAAAATTTGCATGCTATTTTTACATCTGATACAGATCCCAATTTTGATACATCCCAACTTGCATTTGCCCATCCTCTTGAAGAAGAAACGAGTCCAACACAATTTACCCTCCCAGTGGAAGAAGTAAAAGCTGAAGATAAAATAAATCCACAAACAGATTCTGTTGAATCCGGCAAAATTAAGTCCCCGATTAAGGCATTTTCTTCTGTAGCTGCTACAGCGCTGCCAAAGGTCGATAAGATGATCAATGGATCATCTAGGCACTACAAGACACTTGCCAGTACCACGAGTGAAGACGATGAAAGATTATTACAGGGTTAGTTTGAAGACGTGCAGAAGAAATAAAAGTTGTTTCAAAAACCAGGAAGTAATGAAATATCTGCGTGCTGTAGCCAATGGTTTCTATTTTTTGTTTTAAAAGTTTATCCATTTAAATTAAGCATTTTAGCGTCATATTTAGGTTTCAGCAATATGATTTTCAATCCATTCAAGGTGATGGCACCAGCGTATTGTTTCAATGTCTAAAATGTTCGGAAAAAATCACCAATTTCCAATTTTTTTATTGGCTTCACAATTTGATTACGAAGATATTTGGTGTGTAGCACGATACTCAAGAGTGTGGTTGTTTTTGGCTCTGGTTGTAACTGGGATTCTTAAGACAAAAAGTTGATTTTTTTGTGTTTTTTAATGCGAGTCTTTTTATTTTGACATATGCATTTATGAATGCGTCTTGGTATATATGCATTATTTGAATTCAATTCAATTATGTCTGCTAAAAGTCAGGCTAGTTGCGCTCTCCTATTACGAAAGTGTTAAGGCCACGAAAAACGTGATCGGTTTCTAGTTTTGAAAGTGGAATTTAATTTACTAATTTTTCAGTGGACTAAAAACTTCACTTATTGATCCAGTTTTCTCAAACAGTTTTTTTTCAGCAAAAAAGTGACAATCATACTTTGTTATTGAATATCAGAGAGCTCTAAATCATTTTTTCCCTGAAATTGTTAAGTTGAAAGTTTTTGAAAAAAAACATCCGTTTTTTTCTGTTTTCTTGCGTTCATTGACTTTTCAATTGTCTGTTGGCTGTGTTCGTTTTTGTTGTGTTGTTTATTAACTCTATATTTGATAAGTTTGATTGATAGTGGATGCTTTTTAAGGCCTTCAGAGTTGGATAGATTTTCAGCAATTTTTTTCTGTGTTTAAAGTAAATTAATTTTGTTTTCATCTTTTCTTTCATTTTGTTCGTAGTTTATAGCAAGTAATGAATAGTGCTTATTCGTTACACAATATTCCCCTAATGGACATGCAGTTTGTTTTCAAGATTTTAAGCTAAATTTTTGGTAAATTTTGGAATTGTTTGATAGTGATTATTTTTTAATGAAACTGAATTTTTATCTGTTAGTTTAAAAAAAGAAATCAACGGAGCTTGGTTATCCTGGTCCATTCTTATCTTCATGGTAATTGGTATCTAATTTTATTTGTAAAATGACCTGTTTGATTTAAACCGAAGATTTTTCACCAGATTCCGTTTAGTTATTTCGGTATCGTATGAGACAAATAATCTTTGGAGCTCTTCGGCATTTAATTTTGTATTGCAAGTGGTGCAAAGCTCTGCTTCGCCTCAGTGTTCTAGTAAAGAATGGCAGAATAAGGTTAAACAAGTAGCCTCCACTATTAGGACAATAAGCCTTCGCTAGACCCGCTAGACTTTTTTTCCCGCAACAACTTTTACACATTTGTAAGAAACTGATGTTGTCTTATGATCAAACCGCAGAAATTTCATGAATTTCCGCCTAGAGGTAATGCAGATGCCTTTGCTTCCTATGGTCTGGGGTTCGAGTCCCGGCCGGTCCTTGTTTTTTTAGTGTATGATGAAGTTAATTTTTTTCCGGCAAAAGTTAAATAGTCTGATTAATGTTCGTCATTTTGTTTTGTCGGTTTACTTGCCACCACGGATTGTTTTGCACTCTAAGCAGCTTCCATTGTGGTTTCAAGTGTATTTGATTAACTCTTGTTGACTTTGCTAACCCTGGCTGGTATATTTTTTTGTTTTTTGTTGTCTTTTGCTTTATTTTTTTTAAGCTTAGAAATTGTATTCAGAATAAATAGTTTTGGCTCATGTTTCTTTGGTCTAATGAAAATGATTATGGAAATAAATAAATCAGGTCGGTTGAAGTATAGAAGCTGAAGTTCAAACAATTTTATCGTTCAAAATTTTGTATAGCAATTTCCTTGGGTATTTTATGTTACCGGTTTAATGGGCCTCTTGCCACGTTTTGGTGGCTTTGTGTACGCTCGGAAAAAAACTATAAAAATTGTTTAAAGCTAGTGGTTGGAGTTTTTTCAATTGGTATTTTCATCTCATTTTCTATTTGGTAGCTTGCAATGCTACGCTTTCCTTGTATCGCAAGTGATGCGAAGCTTCGCTTCTGTGACAGTTTTCCTGTAAATTAGTCCAGTTTTCAATTTTTTTTTCGAACTGGAAGCACGCCCAATAGGACTTTAATATGATCTCAAACTTAACTCTTTGCGACCTCTCTTTGGTGTCGTCAAAACTTGGTGTAGTTTGAACAAAAAGTAACGGCTGGAAATTGCCATTTTGTTTTCAGAAAGGCTAGACTTTAAAAATTCATTGTGCCTAACACGTTTTTAACTGTGCTAAAAATCGCTCAGCCTAGTTGAATGTCAAAAAAGTGTCTCACTTTACTGATATTCTATCATAATAAAATAGGTTTGGAATGCAAGTACACAACATACATACATTTAATTGCAGAAATTGTACTACACAATTTTTTTTTCAAATTCCTCTACCGGTAAGCTCTGTTTATCATTTGACAAGGATTCGCTTAGAATGCATGAGAGGCATTCCCCTTAACTTGTTGGGCATTAAAATCACTCTTAATCCTGAAACAACTTACTATTTCTGTAGTTCATGCTAAATTGCTAACAATGTTTAGGTCAACGAATCTGAATGAAATTAATTAGCGTAAAACTGCTCAATTCAACGTCGATAACCAATTTTCATTTATTGCAGCACAAAAAAAAACATGTCAAATCATAAAATTATTAAACTTAAAAGCATCGGTATTGACCAATTAAATTGCTCAAGGCCACCGATATTGCCAACAACTTGGCATGACTTACACAACAACATGTTATCTAAAAGCCGTTTTCTTATGATAAAGTGTATATTTTTTGATGCATAAATTATTGGAACAAAATAGGATTACGCAAACTTTTGAAAAAGACTTTAAAGCCATACAAATGTTTCGAGCTTGTGCAAAATGAAACTAGCCTTGGACAGTTGCACTAAAAACGAATTTTGAGGAAAATTTCATAATTACAAAGTTTTGGAAAACTCTGACGTGGTAAGAGGCGAATAAATGTGTGTCGAAGAATCCATCGTGGTATGCCCAAATGTAAAAGATCCGAGCTTTTTTTGAAACCTGTCTAAATTAGCATGGGAGTGAAAGAGTGAAAATCAGACCGTAGTCAAAGGAAACTATGTACAGAAAATAGAAGGGCTTGTTTTCTTTTCAGAGTTTATTTTCATTTCCTCATTTAAGTTCCTTTTTTACCGTTTTTTTTTGTGTTTTTGCAGCTTCTCTTCTGTCTTGTTTGAGGCTTGCATGTAGATTGATGAATTGTCGTTATCATTTTCTGCTTGTGAGGGTTGAAAATATAAAATATCGATCATTTGATTATTATTTTTTTCGTCACGGCAGCGATATTATGTGTCTGAGCTCGCAGCGTAAGGTCTATCGTGATTCGTGACGCGGTTATAATTGGTTGAAATAACGCGAGTAATTTTTACTTGAATTATAGACTATATTGACAATATCGCCGAACAATGCCGGTCAGAAAACAGTGGTTTCGGCCTGTTAGATTGTAAGTGTTTTAATATTAAGAAATGGGCAAGAAGGTTCGTTCAGACGTCGAAATGAGCAGCTTAAGGTAAAATAACTTCGTTTAGATGCGTTGCCTACAATTTGGCATTAACTGTAGTATGCGAATTAAGTTGAAGTAATTAGCCTCCTATGACTGCTCTGCTATGTTCGTATAAATCAAAACTTCAAGTTTGTCCAAATCAACCGTCTAGTCCACCCACCCTCTCTCGCCCAAACTGATTAAAGGGGATAAACGGGTTTTGACTTTTTTGAAATTAAACACATTGAGATAATTTTGATTTAAGTAACAGTCTGACAAAAGAAAAAACTAAAATCTTAATTTAGTTAATAACAGAATACAGATTAACAGAGAATGAACGGTTTATCTGGTTGCTTAGGTCGTTCGGTTCGACTAAATTATTGATTCTTTTTCTTAATCAATAAGAAAACCTGCTAGATACGTTTTGATAAATTGTTTTGGTTTGATAAAAAAATGAAAAACTAAAATCTTAATTTAGGTTATAACAGTACACAGATTAACATAGAATTTACGATTGAATCGGTTTTCTTAGTCGTTCGACTCGACTCAAAATTATTGATTATTATTTTACAATTAGTAGGACAATCTGCTAGATACGTTCTGATGAAATTATTTTGATGTAGGAATGAACAGTGAAGCTGCAGCTTATGACTTTAAAACAGTAACAGACTTCTCTCACGGCACAAGTCGCATATTTGCAAAAGACGCCGAGAACGATGCGACAGCAGCCAATGACGATGAGCCGGGTCCGATCAGCTACAGCTACGGGGACTTCCACACGATCGACTGGGTTCGAGACACGCAAAGAGACCGCATGCGACACAGACAGCTGGTCAAAAAGTGCAACTCAGAGGGAAACACGTGGAAGAGCACTTTGAGAAGATACTACGATTCTCTCAATGCATGGATATGCGTCTTCCTCGGTTGGTAGCTTTTTTAAACCTCTTTTCCATTTCTGATAAAATCAAAAATCAGGAAATTTTGTTTATCAGATGTGAACTCATTAAACGAAATAGTGGAATTGAAAATTGCGGCTTTGCTTAAACTTTCAAAAGAAGATTTTAGTATTAAGAAACATACTCATGTTAACATACTCCCTCCAAACCGCTTTACGGATGAGGATGTTATTTTGATCCGATATTTAAAAAATTGTCCTATCTATTGAAAGTGTCTCGATACCATGTTCATCATAAAAAGGAAAACGTCGTTCAAACTCTTATAGAGGTCATGATGGTTTTTTTCAGGAAAAGTCTTAGTTTGTTTTGGCGCAAATTTATTTTCTGTGGTTTGTTTTTTTTTATTTGGTCATTCCCTTAGTTAAAAGGAAGGTAAGTTCCACTATCAAGCAGCAAAAGTGTAAAGGTCACGGAAAACGTTATCAACTTCTAAGTATGATAATGAAATTTAGTTATCAGATTTCACAGCTGAAAAAATTACGTATCGGTCCAGTTTTCCTAAATGGTGTTAATTTTATCCAAAAAAAATATCAATCATAAACTGTTCTAGAAATTCTAAGAGCTTCAAAAGCCATCTTTTTTTCTTTAAAAGCTTTTTCGTGCAAAGTTTGTGTTAGATCTGTTTACACAAGCATAGCTTGTGTGATAGTATGAATACTTTTTCCAACCTAATTTGCCAATTTTGTTGCAACTCAAATATTGTTGCGACAAAGTGTTTTCATTTTGCAAGTGTTCTTTTGATCAATAAGCAGCTATTAAGTACAGCCAATGCTAAGGATTTTAACACAGATTATTATATCAGAAATAGCTCCTTAGCTTCAAGGTATCATGGATCTGTAGCGTAGAGGTAGGGAAGGAGACCCGCAACAAAATAAAAGGATTTGAACCTGGGCAAGGTCGAATGTTTTTTATGAACTTTTTCGTATACAAGTTGAAATGCGTCCGCTCTATAAATTGAGGCATGTTAGTTGGTAAATTTATTTTCAAATTGACTGGTACTGCTAATGCGTCATAATTGGCTGGCGTGATTAACAATTGTTTACACTCAAAATTGACGTGCTTCACTTAAGAAATTATGTAGACTCAAAGTTTTACTCATTCAGTTTTTCCCGGTATCGTTATGGGTCATGTTTTTGCTTGTGTATGCGAAGTGCAACTTCGCTTCTGTTTAAGGTGCATTTTTGCTACCTGTTATAAGAAATTAGTCATGACTGAGCCAAGTGATTAAGCTGAGCTCGCATCAAGTGGTTCAGGTTTTGTAAAATTGTTTTTAAAGCATTTTTCATTAGCTTTTTTCCATTTCCAGCTTGTGTTTGCCTTTACCGCTTCCTAAACAGTGCCAATATTTTTCTGGTTCAACCTTAACTGTTAATAGACGAAGTGATTTTTCACTTATTTAGGTTGCGTGGTTTTCATCGAAAACTCAAAAGTTGTTCACACTCCAATTTGATTTTCGGCAGTTTGACTTCTGATTTCTGTTTTGGTTAATTTTAAATTCGTGTGATAAATATCCAAAGTGCAAGTGGCTCGAAAAACATGAATAAATTATATCTTCGAAACTGGTTTTTGTTCTTTTAAAAGATTTCCCATCGCTTTAAGAAATTTTTTTTCAAATTTAAATCCATATTTTTTGAACCCTCGAATCAATAGAAATTTCTGTTGACTATTTTCACTGTTTTCATTTCAAATATATTCATGGTCAATTTTATAACGGGCAGTTTTTGGTTGATTTTAAAATACTTATTGAATTTTATCTACTAAATAAACGGATTGCAAGTAACGTTCCCCTAAAAGTAGTCAGCTTGCAAGTTTTTTTCGAAAATGGCTGAAATCAGTTTTAACGTTTTTTTCTTCATAATGCTGAGAGAAATTTAAATTGAGTCTTTATTAGGAGATCGAACTGTTCAGTTCTCGTTTTTGAAATGTTATTGAATCTCACTCACTGCTAATTCATGTCATTTTGAACAGCTAAAAGACTCAGTTTTACTTGTTTTGCATACAGAAACCAGTGTTTGAAGCTTATATGTCGAGTCGTACATGCTGAGAAAAAAATCACGAAAAGATGCCGGGGAAGCTTTTACTGAAGCTTTTAAAAGTCGTTTTTTTTACAGTTAATAGTTCGATTTACTACTTTTGCTCTATTCATTAGGTTAACGCGCTTTCAAAGCACTTCAGATTAAAAAAAATATAGTTTGACTCGCGAACTAACTGATATATGTATATTTCTCCTTTGATAAGACCTCGAGTTTAAAATTGATAAGATTTCTGCTGCAAACTTTTTAACAAACAAATTTTTTTTCTAAACCATTTGAAAAATGGACTGTTTGTTGCAGCGCAAATATGAACGCAAATGTGCGAGAGTATAAATGCATATAAAATCGAACCCCCAAAAACCTATTTTAACCGTCTTTTCGCGCTAATTTGGTTCAACCTTGAATAAAACTGACCTTTAAAAAGAGCAATTTGTCTCAAGGACATTACCGACCGGTTCTTGTGGCTAGCTTCCGCCAATTTGTTATTGATGCTGTGAATCGGTGACGAATATGAAAAAAAAATGTTACATTATGTTATCATCGATAGAAAATGCCGAAACTTATCTATTGCCTGAGTTATTTACCGAGAAATAACTCTTATTAATTTACGGATTTGGATACAATTATTTTTGTTTGGAGATTAGAGCGGGCACATTTTGGCGCCCCACAAGGGACCGGTCTGTAATGTCCTTGAGACAAATAGCTCTTTTTAAAAAATGTGCCCGCTCTAATCTCCAAACAAAAATAATTGTATCCAAATCCGTAAATTAATAAGAGTTATTTCTCGGTAAATCTTTTGTCCGACATCGCTTGGAACACCAGTATCACCAGTGCAAGGACTCAGCCTAAACAAATAAGCGCTCTCCTGCGTCGTTTTCTTTTCATCTTCAGCACCCTGCACCTATTTGACTCCCATCGCTCTGTTCTGTCCCCTGGTTTGTGGCAACCCTCAACCGGTGACCGCCCAATCTCCAGTTAAAAACTGTTAGAAAGTTCTAAACTTTTAAAACTCTCCATTCGTGCTATAAAATTCTATACGATGTTCCAAATTTTTCCGCAAGCTAGCAACCGGTAATTTTTTCTCAATACTCAGAATTTTTGAGCAGTTCGTTGAACTGAAATAACATACAGTCGGTACTTAGACAATTTACTTGACATTTTTTCTCGATACCAAAATTTTTTGGATATTTGTGAACGGAATATTAATCCGTGAAATTGGATCATAGACAAGGGGTACTAGACTAGTTTTTTGGATTGGTTTACGACTCGAACCTGCTGACCAAAATTTTCCGAAAAATTTTGGGAAAAAAAGTAAAAAATTTCCAAAAAATCGTCAAAACGTCCCCATAATTGTGCGAAACTGTGCTGTAACATGACACCAACCTTATGGTAAGTGGTTTGGTAGCGAAATATCAGGCAAATTAAGTTGAGTTTTTCATCCTCAGGTTTTTTCCGCGTGTGTTGTTGGAACTTAACCAATTTGCCTGAGCCCCCACCCACCATTGGTGAAACTGAAAGCCAGTGCGCTCCAAATAAAACAAAGCCGTTTCAGCCCGTCCGATTATTGACTTCGTTGCGTGACAGTATTGTTAAGTGGTCAGGTACGGTGATATTAAGTGCGTTAAGTTGAATTCTTTCATCCTCAGGCTTACTCCGTGTGCGTTGTTGGAGTTCAACCGACCTACTTAATTTCCCCACCCCATTGGTACTTTAGCGTAACGTAGCCGTCGCATAGGTCTCTTGAGTGTATGTTATTCCTTCTAGGAGCTAGTTCCTTGGATCACGCGCTTCGTATACTATCCGCACCGTCTCAAAAGCGCGTGAAAGAGACTTAACTCAGCTTTAACTTTAACGCCAGGGACTCGCAGAAAACTATCCAATACTATCTGCATCACTTTTTGTCGAATCGGAAAGATCTACTTATTTGGCACGACGCCATAGATAACTCCATTAGTAAGCACCGCAGTAACAACAACCGTAAATTGAGTACTGACCAACTTAAGAGCCTTCTTTTGAGATACAAGGAGAATATTACCGCTATTGTATACTGTCGCCGCAACGGTACGGACAATATAGAAAAAGAGTTGAAAAAGACAGGTATTCTCGTTCTTTATCTCAAAGCGAAAGGCCAAAAACCAAACACTTATCGAAAAGTATAAAGAGCTGCACCAGCCCCCTTCCCTTGAGTTGAAGACTCTGTTGTTACTTAGATGATACAGTGCTGACTTAAGTACACTGAAAGCTAAGAAGAAGCGGAACCGTTTGTCACCTAAAAATCGTAGAGCGATTTACAACAGACTTAAAGCATTAAAACTTCAAGTTACTCACCCTTGTAAGTTATTGATGTATTAGAGTATTTTGTGGATTTACTTGAGTGAAAATAAAGTATTTCTGAGAGTCGTTTATTTCTGAAATTATTAAGCATGGAAGTTAAGTTTCAGAAGAAAATTAAGAAGTTGTTTGAGAAACGTAGCAATCTCGAAAACGAACTTTATAAATGCCATGAAATAATTTTAGAATACATAGAGAGTCAGAGTGGTTGCTCAAAAATTGATACTTATATTGAAAAATGTAGGAACTATATAGAACAAGCGGTCGAGATAAATAATGAGTTGATTGATATGGCTGCAAAAAGTGCCAATCCCGACGAATTGATACCGGCACAGGATATGTGGCTTCATAAGTTGACTCAAAGCAACGATAAAGTTCTGCAGGAAGCTATCACATATAAAACAAGTTTTGAGGCAGTAACAGAGCCGGACAAAATAGATAGCAGCTCAAAAGTTTCATCATTCTGGAAAAACCCCAGTCGCATAAAACAGAAGCACACCGAAGCAGCCGACATCATCAATCGGGTTCTCAGAAATCTAGTCGTTATACCGCCGCTCCGTCGAAAACACTTTCTGAAAAAAACGTGACCTAATGATTTTAAAG